TGGGAGTAAAAATCGTGCAGCCAAAAGTTAAGCTATCAAAATGTATTATATTAAAAATGGGGGGAAAGGAGAGTGGGGAAAAGGTGGTCTCTATTTTTTTATATGTTACTGTAAATCCCTAAGTAAAATAATCTCTAAATTGTTTTAGGGTTGGGGTTGTGTGTTTGGTTGGGTTTTTTTGTTCGATTGTTGGGTTTGGGATTTTTTCCCCCATTTTTGATGCCTTAAAGAGCATCAGTTTCAGGTAGTTAGCTATTAAACTTTTCACAAGGTTTGGTTCCATGACTTAGAGAAAAATTAAGTCCTAAGATCTGAGGTGATGAAATTTTTTGTTATCCTAGATCCAAATTATTTGTTTCTCCAATGTATATTCAGAGGGAGCTACAAACAAAACAGAATAAAATAAAGTACTTGTATAAAATCACTACTTTTTTCTTAATGTAAAAACTTCAATAGAACTATACACCATGAAAGAGATACCTGAGGATTATATAATCATACGTGCCACATATACTGGCATTTTTTTATTTTTACATTTTTGGGGTTTTTTTGATAGCATTCTACAACCTTTCAATCTAATGAGCAAAGAAAGAATTCTTTTTAATTATATTGCATTGGAACTTGAATTAGTGATACCTGACCCAGAAGTACTACCATTGATGCAAAATTTTAATTCCACATTCTTTAATGATTTGTAGAATTTTGAGTTAGAAAACTTAAAAGTTAAGCCAACTTGATAGAAAAAATTGTGTTTTTTCAAAAAAAAAAAAACCTCCCATGTTTGTGTTTTTGCAGGGATTCTTTTTCAGTCAAAAAATGATTAAATTTCTTTCTAAAGCTGTTTTAGAACAAGTTAAAAATGTTTTGTTATAAAATTGACATGTTTTGTCTTGCAAGGAAGGTCACTACAGAAGCAAAATTTTACAGGAAATAAAAAGAAATTGCACTAAAAGCCAAAATGAAAAAGAAAATGTCAGGTAACATTAAAAATTGCCAAAATCCAGTAAAGTTAATAAAAATGCAGTAGTAACCTTTCCAATTTCCTCAACTTTTAAACATAATTTGTCTTTTTTCAGGATTGAAGATCAAAATGTATTTCTACATTCTCAATAAAATAAAATTAAAAAAAAATAAAAAAAAGAAAAGATCCCTCTGTATTTAAAACATTCAAAATCCTTCCTACAATGTTTCAGGCAGTAACAAACCACAACAGTATTTCACCTACTTCGGAAAGACATCCTTTTGAGATGACATTACAAAGTAAGTGGCAATACATGACCTGTAGCAATGTTAAGGACCAGTAGTTTTAGCTAAAACAAGCTCTCAAGTTGATTTTGTCCCCTCTAATCTGGGAGGTTAGAGGCACATATTCCTTGGCTCACTGCTGAAAAAATCAGACTGTACAACAGCTTTTGAAGGCATAAAGCCAGAATAAACTGTTTTATAGATTCTAATGGCTCTTCCCTCAGAATTTTGATAAATGGAAGATAGTAGACAATGAAGGACATGATATCACCTTTAGTAAATACGCAAACATTTCAGGAGGTCTTCCTGTTTTAGAGCAATTCTACTTCTTCAGCTGCTGGCAGAAGCGTTAATTCTTACTAGAGCACTTATTGATACCTAAATATTGCAAGAGACATGTAAAAAGTAACGCAAAAATACAAATACAGCAACAAACCACCAAAAAAAACCCCAAACAAAATAAAAAAAAACAAAACCAAAAACCCCACAACAAAAAAGCAAAATCTGTGCAAGCATTTAAATGAATACAGAATAAAACAATTTTAAAAGAAAGAAAGACCTTGAAAAGCCATACGGTTGAATTTAAAATCCAGAATTGTAGTGCTTTGGTGTTGTTATTTTTACCCCCACATGTCTAGGTAAATAAGAAACTATTACGCATGTTACATATGTTTTACTACACAGACCATTGTAAAAGTACTGCTATTTTCTGCATCTGTCTGTGATTTTACATAGGGTTTAGTTCTGGGGCGAATTTTTTACTTTCTTTGTTGCTATGAAAACAAAAATATTGATTTAAGGACCAAAGAATTTATGGTCTCAAGCAAAAATAATTAAATAAATACACAAAATAAGAATTTAAAAATTAAAACAAAGTAAATGATACATGAAAAATTAAAGTTTTATGTTAAATGCTTTTTTCAAAATATATGTATTTTATCTTTTAAATACTTCTATAGGCCATTTAGTGTTTTTACATACTCTAGTTCCAGGAAACATGAGAAACAATGTGGAACAGAACAGATGAATCCATTTTAGATATACTTTAGACATGTTTATTGTTAAAAAGAAAAGCAGACAAAATACTTTTGAAATATGAAAGAAAGAAAACAGTCAAACAGCATTTTAACACCAGTAATGACTGTACAACCCAGCAAAGTTTTACTAAACATTTAAAAGCATTCCATGTAGCAAATTATAATCAAAACCTGTCAAACACTTATATAAATGCAAAAACATTAAATACACTTGATAGAAACATATCTGGAAATAAGCTCTAAGTTGCGGTATTACTATTTCTTCCTATTATTCAATATTACTTTCACCTCATGTTCAGTTTTATCTGTAAGACTATTTTTATTATATTCTTTGCTCCTTTGCTCTCATCATCATACAGTTTATTCCCCACATTTTTTGCACAGTTTTAAAAATAAGAATTTAGCATCAGACAACCTCATTTCCTCAGTGGGAATTATAGCAGCAACATTTATACTTTAAGGTGTTTCATACTTAAAAGTGACAAAGGCCATGTATATCTTTTACAGTCCATATTATCCTAACTGTCATCATCATCATCACTACTACTGTGAGTCTTAGTCCATTCCCTGTAGGCCTGTCTTTTCTGAAAGCATGGTAAAGGAAGAAGAAAGCAGAAGTGTTAGTTTAGAAGTATTAGACTGTCTGGCAAGTTTGTTAATTAAAGCAAAATAAATCCCCAGAAAACAAAGAAATTCGGAAGTAACATCCTAGTTTAGGACACAGTATGAGCACACAAAATCTCCTATATCCTATTTCCTTTAATCAACATATACAACCTCTAAACCGCTAGAAGAAATTTTATTCCCATCTAATCCAGTAATCATCGAAAATGCTACAACACAGTGACTGCAGTGGGACCAGTCAGCAGACCTTTATACATGGAAATAATACAAAAGCAGAAGATAATCTTTTTTCTCTATAAGAAAACATGACGCTATTCCAATCGCTTCAGACAGGGGACATGTAATACACTGAGACTCATGCAAAAGAATTACCACTAGAACAGAAACATTACAAACTAAAAATATTAGTACACTTCCAGGTAAAGTAAGATTAAGGCATCAAACATACTACGTCAGAAATTAATGTCTGACAAAAAAAAAAAAAAAAAAGGCAATTCAGTATTTTCTGATTTGACTGTCTACAGAGAATTATAACCCTGTTTGGAGCTTTCATAACATTTCTTCAAGAGTAGTTCTGCCTTAGAATTATCATAAGTAGTGAAAACTAATACAAAACATACAATTTTTCAACTTAAGCTACTTTTGAAATGGTGGCTGTCATCACCAAATGTGACAGGCATTACACAAGGCAATGCCTTTACACTTTTGTAAGTTGGATATTGAGGATGATGGTACTGTACTCAACCAAACAACAGAGAAAAATTAAAGTTACATATTACATTGCAGAATATTTAAAAGGTTTCTCAGGAAAACAAAACAAAACCAAACCCAAAATGTGAACATGTACAAATTTAAGAAGCAAAAGTAATGCAAAGTCATTAGAGAAGTCTGCACATTAGAGCTCACTCTGTTGGCTTACTAGCGTTTGGTTTAGTGGTACACTTTAAAACAGAGAAGGGGATGTTTTGGAATTAATTTTCTTGAAAGAAAGAGGAGAAATGTTATGCCATTCACGATGTTACTACTGGCATAAGTTGCCAGTAGTAGCTTTTAACTATGCTCTAGTTAAGGTAGCACTGTTTTATAACACTAGCTTTAAATTGGAGAGCATGGACTAAAGCTATCTCATTAGAAGAAAAGCAGAAGCATACTACTTATTCTCAAAGAACTTTCACAGTCTGCTGAACTAGATCACCAGTGAATAGTATGGCGAACATAGCTGAGATGCCCCAAATATGACAATCCTCTTCTACCAGAAAACAAAAGACACACTGATAAAATGCAGAAGAAACAGTCAACCATATTGGAACTCGAAACAAACAGCTATGGCAATTCTCAAAATAGTCTAAAATTCCTCTTATCAACTTCTCCAAAAAGGTTATTTCTATATGACTTCTCCAACTTTTCCTTGGCACATTGAATTCTTCAATGTTTATTGAAAAAATTCTGTTTACATTCATGCAATCACATATTACTACTTTATTTCTTGTTTGAATATTTCTAAAATGCAGTTTTGCTTCTAACAGAATAAAATAGAAACTTTCTAAGCTGCTTAACAGTTAAGTTATTTCTACTTTGATATCTGAATCAAATTCAGATTTGAAGGCAGCTAAATTATTAAAGAATAACTTTTGCTCAGCTTCCTCATGCAAGTAGTATTCCACTGGAAAACTGTTTATGTTCTTTCAATGACTGTAGTACAATACAGATACAGCTATTTTAAGTGTTTAAAAATCTGGTTTACGTAAAATTGATATTAAAAAGTCATGGCTTAAAATGTGTATTATAAAATTACTGAAAAAACTATCTTTATCATCACAATTTATCAAAAATAAAAAGACAAACATTTTTGTATCTCGCACAAACCTCTACACATACACTGCTATAAATTATGGTGTCTTCCTCAGAAGTTGTATCACAGAAACTAAACCACCAAAGTGGTCATAAGCCTAAGAAATTAAATGAAACTTCTTGACTACTGAGTCACTAGGTAAGAGGTGGTAAGGAATTTAAGAAATGGGAAATAAGGTGAAATATTTATTTCAACATATGATGAGCTTAAATGTATGTCAAATTATCTTTCATTTCCTTCACCTGTAACATTTGGCTTCCAGTTCCATCTCTTAATCTGTAAGGTCTAATAACTCCATCTTCACCAAAGAAGCGAGGCGGGCGCAGGCTTATGACATCTTCTGATGAATCTGTAACTCTGACAACAAAGCCACAAATTTAAGGTATGTGTTGTTATCTCTACTCAGCTATAATGTTTAGCAAAGGCTCTAAATTATTTTTAATACAAATTAAATTCAAGTCCTAGCACAGCAGCTGTGTTGTCTGTGTGTGTACTTCTGCATACAAATAGACATTTGAGTAGATATTCTATAGATTTTACTCAGAAATCTATTTCAGAGAATGATTACTAGAAAATTCAACGTCACAGGGTAGCACACACTTAAATAGTGTCTAAGTATTGTACTTCAAAACTTCAACATTAAAGACTTCTGTGCCATACACACTTACGCTTTGATATTTTTCTTGCATTTCTCTGCTAAAGAACTTAGAGTAGAAAACAAGAGACTGGCAACCTTACAACAGCAGAAGAGGTCTGGCTCACTAAGCATCATTAAACAGCTGTATCCAGACAAAGCTACTAAATGCCCCCTCAGAACACCTTCTCCTACTACTTAAACATTATAGTCCTAACAGTTATCAATCTGAACAACCAGGACAGATCCTAGCATGACCTAGTAAGTCTCGGAACTCATCTCATATAGTAGTAATAATATAAAATGTAATTTTTGATCTGAGAAACCCTTTTTTCTCTGTACTAGGGGTAAAAAAGAAGAATCAGCAATTGAAGGAAGTCTGATTACTGAGGATTGTAAACTAGTTTCTTGGGTAATGCTAGAAATGCCTGAGATTTGATGTTGTGGTTTTTAAATGCTATTGACTGTGTATTTTTTAAAGAGCCACCTATTTATTATATAAAGAAGAATATGAATAAGGTTTCTTCCTAACTCATCTTTATTAATGACAAAGTTGGAAGATACAGAAACACTGACACAAAAGCGAAAGACACAATGTACTGCTGCAATGACTATTGTCTGTTTCATGCCATATGCCATTCTTCACACTTATTTTACTTACTTCTTAATACCCTGAAATGTGCTGCTTGCCATGTCTATGATTCCTCCAGTAGGCCTAGCTACTGCTCCCACTAAGCCTTTTCCAACACCTTTGAAAAAACCAGCTGCTCCTTCTTTCTGAGCTCCTGAAACGATTAAATGCAGAAAATAATTATAAAGCACTGAAGTTCTCCTACAATCTTAGCAAACTTAATTACCATTTAATTACTTGATATACAACCACAGTCTCCTCCACACAAAGCTCATGTAAACAACATTTTAACTAGAAGTCAGCACAAAAAAAACTCAATAAAGAGTTTTTTAACTTAGATTTATGTCTCATCAAATACCAAGAATTTACCATCACATGAACAGTTAATGTATCAGAAGACCTAAACTTACCTCTTATTGGTTTTGTAACTATTCCTGTTATGCCACTGACAAAACCCTACCAAGAGAAATGAAAGACATTATAAATATGCTTTCACATTATAGTTTTCATTTTTCTTCATTGGTGAATAGCCTCAAAATACATGGAGTATTCTAAAGTTCACTACAAATTAACAGAATGAGCAGCAGCTGCTTCACAGTTCTTACCTTCTCTTCTGCCCTCATGTACTTTTATTTAAAACTATCACTCAATTATGGCCATGTATTAGCTAAAGTAAAATTAAAATAAAGGGTAGCAAATCTCTGGTGACTATGTCAGCCTCCATATTTGTTACTCTTGCCTGCATAGAATTCATTAATCTTTTTTTTTTTTTTTCCTCCTTACAGAAACTAATCCTTTTCCTCCACGAGTGATACCCTCTCTCAGACCAGTGGGCTGTTTATTCATAGCTTCTCTCCTTTTCTGCTGGTAATCCTCATCCATAGTTATAGCAGCTACTCCTTTTGCCATAGCACCAGTGATTCTTGATGCAGCACCAGCTAATCCACCTATTGGAAAATAAAACAAATTAACATGCCAATGCAATTTACAAGAACTCACCTAGATTGCTTACTATGAAGTATACTACTATGATAACGCTGAAGCTTACCAACAGCTCCCCCTACTAGTGCTTTGAATCCTAGTGCCATTCCTTCTACAAATTCTTCAGGACCCTGGATGGCTCCCTGGGAGAAAAAAGGATGCATTTATTTTAAGCTTCAAATAGTATGCATTACATATTTTCAAGTATTATGTTTTCATTGTAATTATATATAACAAAGCACAAACATGAGACAAAGTGATTAAGTGTCAAACTGCCCACGACAGCACCTGTGAGAAAAAGAAAGACTTTTTATAACACTATTTCATTCCCTGATATCCCCTTCTTTTAAGACAAATTGAAAAAAGCAGATTGATTTTAAAATAAGTCTTTCGTGAATTAAGTCAAATGGACTACTCTCTTGGTTTTATCTCACTTGAGCTTTCCAGTAACTTTCCCTCACACTTCCAGTTTATTTCAATTTTCAATTCTAATCTAAATTTAAAAACAGAAAAGGTATTAATATATGCACATTCTCAATCTTTGAGAATGTCCTAAATGTCCTTCATTTCATAAGGCAGGAGATTTTTACCTGGTAAGGTTCATAGAAAAATGCTTCTACTCCTTCAGACAAGCCTCTTATGAATCCAAATGGATTACCCAAGACATCAAGGCCAAGAATAAGAACATACATCTGTTTAATAGCCTGTAATAAAAACAGTGATTAGTACAAATATTTCATAAATTACATTAAACCAAAGGCAAACAATGTAGCATACCCAGATTTTTAAAAAGCAAAAGTAACATGAGTTTCATATGAAACACTGAAAATTACTTGGAAAAAGTAGTTGTACTGTTGTTGTATCTTACAGTGAGTAAATCATATTAAGTCAGCCAAATAAATGTTACTTCTTACAAGCATTTCACAAATAACTGACAATAATGTTCTTGAGATTTTACAAAGCAAGCACATTATCTAGACTCTTCTCACGCTACAGGACAAAACTTGGTCTGATTGGATATGCTGAGAAAATTTTGATTGTCACTACAAAACATACGGATATCTATATGAAGTGTAATTCAAGATTTCAAATATTCCCTCTAGGAAAAGGAAGGGCCAAAGAACAACAGATAATTGGTTCACCAGTTAAAACCGTCTATAAATTTTTTTCTCGTTTAAAGATGGACAGAGCACTGAACTAGTATGTCCAAAGAATCCCTTATAGTTAATGATGGATGGATAGAAGACAACTAATTCTTTTAGGCAAAAGCATGTCTGCTAGATTGTCTCCACTGGATGACAGGACCTAAAAAGTACACAAGGGCCAAAGAGGGATCATAATTCATATACTACTAATGTCCAAGAAAAAGCATCAATGTTTTGATGCCAATTCTGCTCTATCAGAGTTGAACTGCATTTGCTTCCACTACCTATTCCAGCAAGTTATTTTGTTAGCCATGCCACTCTTCCTTGAGCCATAATTCAGAAAAAGTACTTGCCTTCAAAATAAAAGTAATATAATTCAACTCATGAGTAATTGTTTTCTATGTGTTTGTGCACTTAACCTTTGGACAAACATATAAGGCTGAAAGTAATTTTATTTTCATAGAACCAAAGCATACAGTTGCACTTTCAAAACATAAATATACTGATATACTGAAATTTACTTATGCTAACCTGTTTTGAATAATGCCTTACAACTGCTGATTCGAGCTGTTGTGTAGTACAGAAGTGATAGCTGAGTTCAAAGAATGCCAACCTAAAAGACAAAAAAACAAACCCCAAAGAGAGAAAGTCCTTATTAAGCAGAGCAAAATAAAATCTAATATACGTAATATTGATTTAGTCTTTGGAAGTAATATTTATAATCATATTTTTAACCTACTTAAAGACAACATCTTGCACATCTGTTAGGGTGGCCCCTATATGGAGGTTCAAGGACTGAAGTGGTATCAATTCTTTCTTTCTTTCTTCTTTGTTACTGTCTTCTCCACCCGTACTGAGTGAAAAGCTTAAGTGTAACTAAAGGATAAAAATGAGATTGGGAAATAACAAGGTTGGTTATTAGGAGTACTGTATTTATACCTTCATAATCTCTTAGGCAATTTAAACATTGAGATGAAACATTCCTAATCTTAACTGAAACCAGACTGACTTCTTAACAGAGAACACCATGTAGGCCAATAAAAAAACCCAAAACAAAAAACCACTGACATTTAAAGTCAAACTGAATAACTGGATCTACCTTCAAGAAAACAAGAACTTAAAATTGCTTACTTATGTTTTCAGGCAAGGTCTCCAGAATCTTTTAGCTATAATTTAGGTTATTAGCTTGTTTCCAAAATATTTTGTTTCCTAAGTAATACCTAAATTCAAAGCAGGCTGAAAATAATAATACAGCATGGTGTTCAAGAAAGAATGAGGAACAAAAGCCTAAAAAGAATTCATTATTAACACACGTTTTACAGGTGCTAAATAAACAAACAGTGGGGTATGTATACAAGAAAAACCCACCTGTGCAGACCTGAAGTAACTGAAATACTTCACAGAAATTAAGGGGACTATCTCAGAGTAATATTCAGAAGAATTTCTCAAAGGGCTCTATAGTGCACAACCATATTCAGCAATTTTCAAAATCACATGAAAAGAAGTTATGCCTATTTCCATTTCTCTGAAGACAACACTATGTTCCATTCATTAATGGTATAACAGAGTGTAACGGTAGCTCATCTTAAAGATACATAGCTCGTATTGAAGAATCATTGTCACTTAATTCACAGCTCTGTATTGACTTTATAAACTTTGAAGACTAATATCTTATTAGAACCTGAAGAATCTACTGATTCCATTCTATGTCCTCCATATGATCTTTTTTGTCAAACGTGACAGAATACAAAGATAAGCTTTTGTCTTCTTTGTTACGAAGTGTTCACTTTGTTATCTTAACATGTAAAGGTCATTTTACTTTTGTCCAAGTCCTGAGCAGTTTTGTAGTAAAACAACTGGAGACATACCTATGAACATCTAAATGAAGATACACTGAAACAGCTGCTACATATGCTTGGAATGCATTAGGCTAAGCTGTTTCATAAAGCTAGCCAGGCATTTTCCTGTTCTAATAGCAGATCAATTCTAACATCTCAACAGATACTGTAAAGAGGTGAAAGTCAAATCATTCTTTGATCCCTTTCCCATAGGATGGAGGGGAGATTCTCTTATTAAGAAGTGCTATAAAGCCTACAATGCACCACAGTTTTAACAACGTCAGCTATGCAAGAATAGAAAAAAAAAAAAAAATATATATGAAGACAAGTAAGCTAAAAAAAATGCATGAGAGCTAGATTTGGTCAAAAAGACTCTGTTTTCCATGTAAGTATGCACATACTATTCAACAGCTGCACCTGAGTGTTTCCAGGAATGGGGAAATAGCCAAAAGTAGACTTTACTGGAGTCAAAAAGTAAAACTGCTTTTCCAGGAAGTAGCAATAAATCAAAAAATGTCATTGCACAGTAACGCTGTAATGCTGGCTGTATATGGTTTTTAGAAGTTACCTCATAACCCAGTCCAAAACACACTGCCTATACAAACTATAGCATTTTGCAAATATAGATTTAAATTTGCAAATACCATTTTAAATAATAAAAAGAATTACTGTATATGAAAAAAGTCATGGATAAGAATGAAGTAATGAACAACTCATCTAAATATTTAATAAATAATATTAATGTAAAGCCCATATAAAGTAAATAGTAACAATGAAAGCACTTCTCCAGAACATTTTTGGTTTATTTTTGATCATACGATCACAGAACAGTTTGGGTTGAAAGGGACCTTAAAAAGCTCATCTAGTTCACCTCTATGTTTCTTCATTTCCAGTGCCTACTATCCTGCAGGAGTCAAGAAAATCTTCACGTAAGAGAGATAACATAGGCTATACTGTGAAAAGGTATACCTTAATTGGAGATATATGAAAGTATTCATACAAGCTGATTTGTGACGTATCCATTGATGATACACTCATCAGTTCCTCTTGAAGAGATTCAACATCCTTTCTGAAAAGTTCTAGCTGTGAATGCATTTTCAAAAAATATTACTTTAAAATTTGGACTATATAAAACTACCATGACAAACAAGTATTTGTGACTGAGATGCTACTCATTGACCAATACTACTTATACTCTCCTATCTTATTTTTTTACTTAAGGAGTTAGCATTTTAGATGACTTTTTTTATACAAAGAGGAGGAAACATACGTATAAAAAGACAATACAAGATACACGTATTTAATAGTAAAAAAACCAAAAAAACAACCCAAAGTTAAAAAATACGTATTTTTATGAAAGTTTAAATACCAAATATTTTCCAGTAAAGTCTGGTTTTTTTACCTGGGTCAAACAAAGGACATACATATATACCTTCTGAACACATAAAACAATGCATAGGTTTTTAAATACAAAAAAATAGGCTAAAAGACTACTTCCAGTCATATAGAAACTAGACTCTTACAGACACTGAGAAGACCACCATCTAGCCCTTTTCTCTTCTCTCCCCTCCTTCAAAAGACAGAGTTCCTTTACAACAGTCTGTTTACAACAACTGATCATGTACAAAAAAAATCCAAAAAACCCAAAAACCAACTTTAAAATAATAACAATTCTGAACTTATAGTCAGAAAAGACTTAACTAGTCAAAGAAGTTGCACCTAAAATAATGTGTCCTATCGAAACAGTAAACCCAGGTACCACCTTTCTAATTAAACAAGCAAAATAGTCAAAGCACTAAATATTAAGGAGGGATCAAATCCTACAATCATGCCTTGCAATTCCACTAAAAACAAAGTGCAGAAGAGGGTCTCCACTAATTTCTGGATTCAGTGGTTCAGCTAACAATGCTGATCTCAATTTATCCTTCCACTGGGAGGGGAAAGACAGAAAAAAAAAAAAAAAATACAACTATGTATTTTTTCCACTATACAACCATACATTGAAGATTAAGGTAATTCTTCAAACTACCACAATAATCTAAAATTCACCGGTACACCTGGTGTAAAGCAGATTTAACAGACTGGATGCCCTAGAACGCTGCTGGGAACCACCAGTTTAGACTACATATTCCCACACTTGTTCCACACTTCCTTTTAATTTTCAATATATATTTACACTGAAGCAATTTTTTAATATTTCTCCTTATTTTAGTATAATCCCTGAGCAGTAATCCTTTCTTAATCTCTGATGGGTAGATATGGGGAAATAAAAGCAAAGTAAGTTATCTTTCCAGCACACCTTTCACCTGCCATATTAAGACTAGCTTTTAATGCCCCATCAGAAAGGACCTTTTTGTTCTACTCATCCAGGCAGATCATCTATGCAAATATTTCTGGTTCATTTTTCAATAGCACCATTTTTGAGATAAAGACAAAACAAATACTCTTTCTGCTAAGTAATTTATTATGTTTGTTGTGTACTGACTTCAAATTTCAGTACTCTTAACAGGAACACCAAGCCAAATATACATTATAACTGCATTGCATCTATACAGTTTACCACCTTTAGGTTTTCTTTAGCAAATCCAAGAACCTTTGGCTGTTGCTTTATGGTTGCATCTGGAGTTTTTATTATCATCTTGCAAGCAGACTACCTTGCAATTTGTATTACTGTATTTAGTTCTACTGTTGCTATGTACAGACTCCTTTCATTCTCCCTATACAGTAATATACTCCCACTGCCCTTTCCTCTCAGTATCTACATGTCAACTATGTCATTTTCCAATTTAGTAATTTTGCATAAAATTGCCACAGACACTTTTCACTTTCTAATCAACCTCTATCTCAATTACTTTTACATTCTCTTGGTCTCACAGGCAGATAAGTTTCAGTGGTTTCTTGGCCAAAAGATTCCTAGATTTTTATTTTTTAAATAAACTACATTAAGGAAAAAAGTATTATTTTCACTTCTTTCCCATCTTAGTTACCCGATCCTTCAGGCATTAGTAAGACCAAGTAGTCTACAACAGCACTAGTTCCATTGTTTTCAGAAGGTTCTGAAGCCTTGTTTGCATAGCATGTAAGATGAGGTTAAGAGAAAGAATTTACTGTTTGCCTCTGCCAACTGTAACACTGAAAACCCTCACAGTTTCCTATTCACCCCAGACACAGCAATTAACCAATATTATGGATGCAGAAAACTAAGGTTTTTTAATTTTTTAAAATACAAGCTTCATAATTACCAAGTTCAAAAATCTTTAAACAACAAAATGTTTCTACCTCTTGGTCATTCAGCACGTCAGTTTGTGTAAAGAATTCAACCAGCGCATATAGGAAGCCAAGATCTAATCTGAGATCCATCTCTTGAATCAGGACTTTAAAATACCTACACATGAAACAAAACCCAGTTATTAAGGTCTTTTGAAAAAATGGGTAGCATACAAAACTTAATCTAGGGTATTCAGGACACATACTGAATTCATGTTTTTTGTTTTATTAGGTTTGTTTTGGTTTGGTTTGTTTGTTTTGTTTTTTTGTTTTGTTTGGTGTTGGTTTTTTTTTGAGGGATTCACCATTGCTGGTGAAAAGAAGGCTCCCCACAGTGGTGTAAGACAAATGCATTTCCTGTAACCAGAACTATTTTAATCAAGTAGCAGCATTTAAAAGTGCATATAGCACTGGGTTTTATAAATTAAAAAAGACTAAAAATCTGCATTAAAAAGCAGCTTTAAAATCGTTGCTTTACTCTGCATTTATGCGTATAATAAAGTGGGCTGAGCTTTTATCACTAAGTGCTCTGATCTTTCCAAGAATGAGTTGGTGTAAAATTATCTAGCATTATGTTTTCCCTTATAACAATTTTAATTTTAAAGCTTCATTAAAGATGATCAATAGCAAAAAAGATTGAACATGTCAAAATACTCACTTGATATGAGATATTTCTGAATGTCCTGCGGTTCTCATGACAATACTGACATCAGTAAATGGTTTAGGTGCTATAAAGTCGTAAAACAAGAAGAGATCAGCACAGATTTTTATATGATAGAATACCTTTATATTTTTTAATAAGAAAATGTCATACATGTTCAGGATTTTCTCAGTCCTGTGAAGCAGAATTACATGATGGATATGACTGGCAAACAAATATGGGAAAAGAGCAGGAACAGAAAGAAATAGGGAGACAAGGATGACATGGAACATCAAAATTGTATTTCACTAATCTACGAAAATATGCCATTTTAATTTAAAAATTAATATTGAAATAATGTTACATTTATATAATTTCCCTAGTCATGGAATAAGATTTCGCAATGCCTGATACAAGAATTAAAAATAAATAGATAAATCTGCAAATTTATGCACTGTAATTTGAAATTGACTGTATTTAGAACAAACACCTGACAGCTTATTATCTTGTGCAGAAAATTAGTAGCACTAGTCTGTCTCAGTTCAGAATCCCTTTTGACATTACTCTGGTATTCCAAGTGACCTTGCACTTAACAAGTTAATGAAAGATTGCACATCATTACATAGTATACCGACATCAAGCTTTATCGTTCAAGTAATGGAGCAGACATAAAGCTATATACAAAATAGGCAAAATATAATTTGCCATGTACAGAGCTTATAAATGGTGCCTCATATAGCAGTTCTAGGCTTAGACCAGCACACACTTCTTATTAGTTAAGATTATTTCAGATAGATTACTATGTCATCTACTGTGCACAAGCAAAAAAACCTCAAAATACCCAAACCCCAACATGATTAAGATAAACAATTCATTTAGAGCAGTAGGGAAAAATCAGGTAACTAAAGATGAAAAGCGAATCCTCACTGCCCCAGAACTCCAAAGGCAGGTTATACATAAATGGTGCAACAGATTCACTACCATTAAGATAAACAACAATTTGATCATTTGTTTTCAGCAGGCAACTCTTCTATATTAGTCAGCATCAAGTTTCGATTGTGGTCTGAACGCAACCACTAAGAGCCCATTTTAAACTTGAACTTTTAAATTGCACTCTCCAAGAGTACTGAATTAGTGCGTCCAAATATGTGCTTAAAAGGTATGATAGTGAAAGACGGAAAAAAATTTGTTTTCTTCTAACTGTTGTTTAAATGGTTTTCTGTATCTCCTCTTTGTAAAGCAAACTGCCTCCCTATCTCTAACATTTGTTACCTAGTATTTGCTATCTGTAGTCAGTAAGCTTATACAAACTTCATCTGATAAAACTGACGTAATTAGACTCAGTACAAGCAAGTTATCTTGTTATTTCAGAAGTATGGATTATGTTAAACTAGAACAAACCTGAATCCAAGGTGATGGACTTTGGAGGTTTTATAGGATAGAACACAAAGGGAAATATGGCTCCAGGAATCTGGTTTTGTATCTAATAGGGGGTAAGGACAGGACAAGTCGCAGCACATTAGCTTTTCAATAGTGAAATATTTCAAAATCAAGAATTATGAACATTACCTGTAGCATTCCACCAACTCAAAACCAGAAAATAAAGAGCTGCTGTTGTGGTTCAAAATAGCGCTCTCTTCAAAATGAAATCATCCAATCCCAACAGTCTAGAAAAGCTTCAATAAGTCAGAGGTAATAATAAATGGTCCACAGAACTTCTGTGAAGGATTTGGTTTTAACAACTTTAACACATGCAAGACAACAAACCATACCTATTTTCTGTTGGCTATAAAGAAAAGCCGTAAGAAAAAACATGGAAAATGAAGAGTAAATGTTTTCCCCGAACAGTCATAGTTGTCTGGATTTCTTTTTTCCAAATCATGTAAGAAGTATTTCCAAAAATTTAGAAGCAGTGATGTAAAAGCCAATGAGTACAATTAAATTCAAAACATAAAAAATCCAAAGAATTCTAAAACCAAATCCAAGTTTCCATGGAAGTTGCTTTTTCTTAATAAATACAACACTGGGTTTTTTCTACAAGACTCACCTGTATCCTGTAAATTTGAATTCTGACAGATTTCTGATGTGCAGATGAGCTGTATTCTACTTTTAAAGCTGGCAGATAATTCCTTCTAATAGGAATCTCATGTGGTTGTTGAATTTTCATATTCATTCCATTAGGAGTTAAACACACCTATTGCATCATTAAAGAAAATTTAGTATGCTGTGTTTTTTCAAGGACTGCTTTTTAAAATATACTTTAAAGTGTACACTGTTCATTTCATTAACATTTTAAAGATAGCTTAGCAGAAAAAGTTCTGCAGCTTTTAACTTTTAAGTAACTTTATTTACAACAATCTAATTTTGCCAAAAATTTCAATAGAAGTAAAACTACAAAATACTGCATTATTTGGGGGACTGCAGTTTAATACACAGTTTTCTAGAGTAAAAGCAGAGTAGTATAACGTAACAGTCAATGACAGATAAAAACTGGCTCATTTACCATTTACTCATTGGAATTGTGTTGGAGGTATCTATAATTTATCTAGAGACAAGGACAGCAGCATTTGGAGCATAATGTGCTTTTACATTACAGAATATTTTCTGGAATCTTTTCATATTTATGTGGTTGAATGACAGTTGATTTATTCCACAATAACGCACTTGAAAAGAGTTTGTGCTAAAACAAACAGACTGAAGACTAACACCCTGTCTGCCTTCCCAGTGTAACAAATGAACCAAATGCAAAGCTTGTTTACTATAGCTTTAAGGATATTTAGTCCCTGCAAAGATGTTGCACTTCAACTTAAAAGTTAGAGGCTAACAACAAAGTCTATGGTAAGTAACCTTTTAAATATTTCTGGAGTTTTTTCCAAAGATTTTTCTTTTCCTACACAGAGCTAAAGGGGGTTTTCAAATGGATTAGGTAAATCAATCATCTCAATTTTCACTGGAGGTTTCTTCAAAGACAGCAAAACTGACACATTATCTTTTTTCTGTGTATACGTGAAAACAATAAAAAACTATCAGTATTACCAAAACATTTGATTCCAGCTCAATAATCTTATTTTCTGAAGGAGTTAGCTCACTGTAATCTTTGAATTCTTGTTCTAGTTTATCAGTCTGCTTAACACTCATTGGTCTCCATCTTGACTTCTTCTTGGGTTTTGTTTCCCAAACCACATCAGAACTTTGAAAACAAAACAAAGGACCAAGCGAGAATGATTAGCTATTTCAACACAAGTTTCACCTACCATACTATGGCTTTTAATAGGTTATAACTACAGAAGGAGAACCTACATCATAAAGAACTACTGTAGTAGATAAAAGTGACCCAAATCACCCACTGCCTTCTTTGTACTAAGTGGAAGCCAGTCTCTCCAATATAATGCAAAAAAGAAAAGTGAACAGCATATCTCCCCGCTTTCATGAAGATAGACATGTAAGGATGCTTAATCAGAAAGCTCAGTTTCAACAGCACTGCCATCCATTATTCTACAATGAATACTAAAAATTGTGACATTGTGAACTTAAGTTGAGATTAAATGCCTCTTGAATTGCCTCTTATTTTTCATGGCTAGTTTCTTCACTCTTTCAGTCTAAAGCAATAGATGGTGATTTTGGTATACATTTATCCTCTATCAATTTTATGGTTTTCAGTTTTTTTAATTGTTTGTGGGCTTCTTGGTTTTTTGTTTGTTTGGGGTTTTGGTGGGTTTTTTGGTTGTTGTTGGTTGGTTGGGGTTTTTTTGTGTTTTTTTTTGTTTGGTTGGTTTTTGGTTTTGTTTTGTTTGTTTTTGTTTGGGTTGTTGGTTTTGTTTTGTTTTGTTTTAACTGTATCCCAAAATCAGTTCTTCTGTCTCTTACCTCTATTATGAATAAAACATCAAAAAAAAATTAACTGTTCTTAGATGGCACTGGACTCTTCTCTGCTTAATGCCAGTGCTTCTGCGAGAAGCTCGTGTCTGATTTCAACCAAAGGCACACAGTAGGGCACAAACCAACATTATCAGACAGGTGTAGGTTGTTTCCCCTTTCCACCAGCTACTCTACAGCCCATAAACAGACTTCCATACACAGCTCCCTAATCCAATCCCTTTCAGCTACATCTCTATCTGTACTGATACATCAATGGCAGAACCACCACCACCAAAAAAAAAAAAAAAAAAAAAAAAAAAAAAAGTGAGCTAAAGGGCGAAAGAACAGCTACAAAATACAGTACTACCTTGAAATTGCTGGGAATTATTTTCCTCTTCCCCCCAACCCCACAATGTGCTGCCAGAACTACCATGGTGAAACTTTTTTCTGCATCAAGTTTGATACAAACTGCCTTTTCTATTCTTTTTGTAACAAGATGATCACAAATGGGAACATTCTGAAAAATAGGGTTTTCTTCACTGAAACCAGGGAATTACCTCTTGCCTTTAGAAAGAGCTTTCAGGAGTTTGACATCCACTCAGGTTTTAACGAGAAAAACGTAAGTACTGCTAGACTACTGACTATGGATGAATGCTTACAAAAAACACTGATATAGTGAAATCTCAACACTACTTTGAATCCAGGCAATTAGCTGCCACTATTAATGGAGTGTTTCAACTGTCTAGATAGTTATCAGAGCTCAGTTTCTCAGGTGAGGGCAAGGATCAGGATTTTATTTGTGAATAAGAGATTTGTATAAGTACATATGTATGTAAAGTTTTTGCTTGTTTGTTTTGCAGTATGATTCAAAGAAATAAGAGGAAAAAAACTCACTCTAGCAACTTCATGGCCATGAATATATAGAAGTATGTCTCAAGCACTACATAGTTCCTTTTCTGCTTCCCTCTGAAATGTTATAGTAGAAAATCTAAAGTATTAAAGCCTTGGAGTCACCATAATTTCTCAATCAAAACTAAAAAGAACTGCAAGCTGCTACTGCATGAGAATTTTCAACATGGAATTCAGCACTTGTTTCTATAATTAAAGACCTAAAAATCCACTGACACAAACTACCCACAGACCTTACTCCTTAAAACTCTACTATGATTCCCCAAAATACATGGACAGGAAATACTTCTTTTCAATCTACTGGGAGTGTTCCCACACAGAGTGTGAATTCTGTGCTGCAAAACCACTTATAGAAAGCATATGCACTAATATAAAATAGAGTGAAAACATTTGTCTTTACAACAAGAAAACAAAATTATTTAATTCTAAATACTCAGCCAGACCTCCTTTTCCTCTTCAATCACACACAGAATTTCAAAATCAAATTCTGTGAAGTTAAAAAATTTTGGACAGTTGCACACAAAATACGTTACCTTGTAATTCCAATGTAGGATACCTCCTGCTTTGTATAATTATTTACCAACGAAATTCCAACATCTTGCAAAGAGAGAACAATTTCTTGCTCTGCTAGTTCTGCTTTTACACTTTCATATGCCAATTTAAATACATCCACATTATCAGTGATCAGGACAATACGCTGCAAACCTTCAAAAAATGACACTAAATAGATCACTTTTCTACAGTCCAGGCTGAGTGTTTCCATTTTGTCCTATGAACAAGAGAAGAAAAGTTTTTACAACTCTATTCATCTTTCTACTACTACACAAGCAAATCCAAAGTCTTAGCACAACAATAGGAGATATTTTTTTAGAGGTACAGGAAAATAATTAGGAAGTTTTACAGCAGTCTCACACACACACACTTTTGAACTGAAGACAATGCTTATTGGCACAAGCTCCAGAAAACAATGTTGTTACTGTCACACTCACTGCATATAGAATTTCATACATACACTGATGAAAAGGATACTATATTAGCACTAAAAGGCAATTTAGATAATAAACATACCTCTTTCGGGGTAATTTCCTCAATTCTATTTCCACATTTCCATTTCAATTTTCTAGATCCTGCTGGGTCCGCCCAAGTATACAGTACTGCCTTGTTTGGCTGAAGACAGTCTTCCAATTCACTAAGGGAACTAGAACAAAGTAATAAAAATTAAAATGTCAATAAATTTTTTTATGTTTGTGACTTCTATAATCTAGCATTTCAACAATTTTTTTTTAATAATGAAAATAAAAATATTCTGCATAAAACACACAAAACCATTCTCACTAATAAATAATAAAACCAGTATTTATACTTCAAAATACATATACGTACTTTATAAATAAAGTATACACACTAGATTGTAAACACTTATTTAGTTCCGCACTTGTGATTAACAAGGGAAACAGTAAGTAGAGAATAAAGACAGCAGAGCTTGCAAACTGAAAGGAAAACTCATAATTTGTGCTGCCCGATATTCCAAGAAAATATTCCAAGAGAAGTGTATTCAAAAATCCATTGTTTAGGAAAGGTTTCTCCTATATGATTTGCTGAAAGGAAAAAGTGCAGTATTTAGTATATGGATGCAGGGGATGTTTTCAGACGAACAGATTTTAAACTTCATTCTCCCTCACATACAGTTAAAAACTGGCAGAATTGCTTCTACAGCTCTCTGAAAGGAGCCTACCGCAGGAGGGGAACTGGAAAGGGAGGTGCTAATCTCTTCTCACTGGGATTCAGTGATAGTACATGTGGGAATGGTTCAAAGCTGTGCCAGGACTGGACATAAGGAAGCATTTCTTTACCAAAAGAGTGGACAAACCTTGGAATAGGAAACCCTGGTTTCCTGGAGAGGTTGTCAATGTCCACACCTGTCAGTGTTTCAGAGGCATTTGGACAGTGTCCTTAACAATATGCTTTAATTTTTGGTCAGCCCTGAACTGATCAGGTAGTTGGACTAGATAACCACTGTAGGTCCCTTCCAACTAAAATATTTTATTCCCCAGAGTTCATTGCAAAAGCTACATATATACTTATCAAATTTACCCTAGGGATGCCCAAAATCCAGGTAAAAATATAAAAATTACTAATCTTTACAGATAAAAATAAAATAGACTTTGCTCTTCAAACAGGAACATAGAGCTGCAAGCTTAACTTGACTAGCAGTTCTTCCAATTGCAAGTAAAAATCTGTAAACAACTCTGCTCTGAGAGACTGAAAGGAAAAAATGATAGAGGCTGTTCAGCTTTTTAAAAGAAACAGGTCAAGATTGATGTAGATATGCTTACCTCAGCATTTCGCAGTATCTGCTTACAGAAGCAAAGCATTACAAAGACATTCCAGCTTGAGAACAGAATCAGTACAGCTGCATGCAGGTGCAGAACCATATTTTACTACAGATAGATACTATTTACATAGATAATTCATATTTGTTAAAATAACCTTAGCTTTGGTCTGGTTTGACATAATTTATATAACTACCTACCATTTCAATCCATTTCCTTAGCTCTCCCAGAAGTTCTTAACACATTCTTTCAGCTAAATCTCAACTAAGTATGATAGAAGAGTGGAAGTCTCAAACCCAATTAGATTTACAACTTATTCTCCATAGTCAACACCTGCACAGTTCTAGAAAATCTGGCATGTGCCCCTACTAGGAATGTAAATCAATGTAGAGGACAAGGCTACAAAACTCATATAGAAATAGAACAGAGAGCTTCCTTAGCTCACAAAACAGCTTTTTTACTTGTACAAACAGACACCTAGCACTAAAAAATACTGCTTTGTTAACTATTCATTCTCTTCAGTTTAGAAAATGAGATTTTTTTGAGTGCTTTGACAAATTTAGGACATCTTTAGAAATAGGCATACTTAGAATACATGAAATAACAGTTCACATTTCTCTGTGCAGACATCCACACTAAAATTCTTCTTACATACCTTTGTCCATACTCAATGATCTCCTCTTTAGTATGGTTTATTAATAGAAATGGAGCTGCGCCATCATGGTAATTAGCAAAGGTAATCACTGTAGAATGTTCAGTCAGGTTAACATCCACTGTAATTCCTCCAAGCTATCAGATATAAAAATTATAAAGTAACAGTGGAATTAATTTCTAATAAAGCAAATGTAATCTAAATATTTTGGGAAGCTTTTACTCTCATAAGATAAAACCATCAAACAGTCAAACAAACAACCTGTTTTAACATATCTTTAAAGTATTTCCCAGATGTAATTACTAAGTAACAGGCATTGCACTTAGAAATTAAAAATATGGAAGAGTACTGTACTGTAAAAATTTAGGCTGGTAGTAGAGGAATCTTCAACCATTCATACACATTAATGCCCTCCAAAACATTCTACTTTTAAAAACATTCATATATTTTAAGATTATTGCTAGATGAGACCATATGCAACATAGAAGTACAGTTACTGGAGTTGTAGTTTCTTTGAAAAGTAAGTTAATGTTACTTTAGAAGTAATGTAAAATACTTCTTAGCCTACTTGTATCTGTGTGTATACACTCAGGAAAGTGAGTATGAGAATGACGACAGTACATTCTGCAGCTGCACATACATAATCTTTTCCCCAGCTAAGGTTTTGCAATAGCTGATTGTATTGGAAGACACAGTTCTGAGAATGGAAATGAAGCAGTTATGTTGTTTTATCTGATTTCTGAAGGCAACCATTTACCTTGTTGTCCAAATGCAGTAGCAGACAGTTTTCCTGCTTATCAAAATTTATCTTCTTTGGGAGGACATCAGAATTTTCAACTCTAACAAGCAGTTTGTTGGCATCATTTTCAGGCCAAAAGGGAATGCACTAAAAAAAACCAAAGAGGTATTTTAAATTAAGTGGGAAAACAAACTAGATGTTAAATGGAATTCACTTCAGCCAATTCTACCCAGAAGTGTAGTGAGTTGGATCATAAACTATATTAAAAACCCTAATGTAATACTTACCTGAACACAGTAAATTCAAAGGAAGTAAAAAATAATTCAGAGTATAGTGAAGATTCAAAAGAGTTAAGGAGATAAAAAACAGTAAGGCTCCATATTCACATGAAGAAGTAATTTAAAATGGATAATGTACTCAAAATCCAGAGTCTAAAGCTGAGCATAGCTACATCACCAAAATAGCCAAGCTTCTAACAAAACAACAGAAAGGCAAACAAAAAACCCTTCAAAAAAACAAACCAAACAACAGCAACAGCAATCAACAGAATCTCTTGCCAAACAAGCATAAATTACAAATCAATCTTATAGTGACAATCTACGACAAAAGGGGATATTAGCATAATATACCATGTAACTTGAGTATGCAGGACATCGGCGTACTAGCCGTTCTTTCAAAAAAGTTCTCATATATATAAGAAAATTTTATATATATGTATAAAAAAATTATGTATACACATACACATCTATATGTGGGTATAAAACATATAAACAAAGTATGAAGCATTAAGCAGCAAAATCAGAGAGCACATTCTGCTATTCACACCTGACTGAAGTCACAGTCATTCTGGGTTTAAAAATCCTTCATTTAAACAGTTTATACAAACAGATAAAATGAGGAGGCAGGGAAGACATAAGTTTTAACTGTAACTAATGAAAAGTTTCCTACTAATTAAGAGAGTCCTGCCACAGTAACAAGCTATGATTAACAATAGATTCTCAATCAGCAAGAGCCAAAGTCTGACTAGGTAGACCAGTTTTCCTGTATTTCACACTGTTGACGTGCAACATCCAACACTTAGGAGCACCTTTCTCCAACACAGTTTAAGAAACAAGATGTTTATATTAAATTGCGTCTGAATCCTAGAATTCAATCTTCAATGGTGAAAGACTAGTTCACCAACTTACCATGCCACTAAGTTCCCTTTCCCATTGTTTCTCACACCACAGGAAGCAGGAAGACAAAGGAAAAAAATATAGTTAAACAGCAAGATTGAAGGTGTTATCTACATCAACATGTATCCTACAAAGGAAATTTAGAATTGTGTTGTAAGCTAGCATAAAACACAGCAAGTAAGTCTCGACGTAGAAATTTAGAGAGCCCAAAGAAAATTCAAGGAGACTCAGTCAACAGTAAATGAAAGTTTATAATCAAAACCAAAATAAAAGAATTGGCTAAACAAAAAGTTACAGAATCAACCATAGAGAACCAAAACATTAATTTTTGCAATAGTCTTTAGCCACAGAATATCTCACAAAATGATGCTGTTTCCAAATGTTTTGCCACACATTTGCTAAGTGCTTCAGTAGTACTATATTTATACAACAATCTCCATTCCATAATAGGATCTTTGTATTTAACAGTGGTCTCATGTAAAGTCTTCGACAATGTTTGCTTTCTTTCTCTAAGGATGCATGCTGGTCAACTGACTTACACTACACTTAATTCAAAGGACCTTCCTTAGCAAGCAGTTTCATACTAATCACTGTCCAACAACTTCTGTTACAGCCTTTTGAAGAACAACAGATGTTTCTAAAAACAGTAATTAAAGTTTTGATAGATTGACTGCTTTCCAGACATGGAATATGTCCATGAGCAAATGAGTTCTACATAATAATTGCTTTTTTCCCCTGAGAAGACAGTCTATTTGTCACTAAGAAAGAAGCGTGGATAATAAAAGGAAAAGCAGCAGGAAGGACTCTGCTTAAAATTACAAAAATAGAACGGAGGGAAATGGGGAGCAAGCTGAGATACGAATTAACATTTCAACAAACTGGGCTTCTTTGAAGACTAACCAAATGTGAGAGAGTAATGAGAGAAACACATACACACACACAAAAACCAAATCACAGGCATTAACTAAATAACTAACTAACTAAATAAATAAATAAATAATCTAGTTTAGCTCGATAGCAGAATTCCATATCTTAAGATCAAGATCAGACAGTAACATGGTTTCTAGAAATCCTGGATGCTCCAGGATAGAGCAATAGTGGCAGGACTCTACCTAACTTTAGAAGAGATAAGAAACATACTGGATTAAGCAACTGGGTTACAAATGGACAACCTTGGGAAATTTAACTGTCATAACACAGGTTTTTAGACTGCTTATCAAAAGGGAAAATATCTACACCATGTGAAAAGGGAAGTGATTTTGGAAGTGAAGTCTGAAATCATTTACGAGAGGATACAGATTCCTCTGTTGACTTCTGCTACTCCATTTAATAAATTACCACATCTAATCTTTCAAAAGATATTAACAGTGCTCCTAAAATTTACAAAGTCTTCCTGTGATACTTGGTAATTGAAAGGAGACTAAGATCAATTAATACAATTACGAAAGACCTCAAAAAAACGATGCTTGTGGGACAAATGAGAAAATTCTGCAAGGGTATCAACAAAACAACCAACATAGGAAACCCACAAATTATATATGTAGCAACATATTTAAACTTTCAAAACTATTACCTCTGAATAGTTCTTCTCAGAAAATTTTAAAAGTACTTGTAAAATAATTCAATTTATTCTCGTAATAACTTTTTATCACATATAAACCACAAAACCAAGAAGTAATAAAATCTGACCATATTTTCTCAAAATAAGAAATCAGATATGAAGTGGCCCATGCCACTACATGTGAACTTCCCTAACTTCAGAGCTTTATCAATGAACTGTATGAGTCATCAGGCATGTAAGGAACCCAAAAAACTATGTACAGTTAAATGAATGTCTGGTTCAGAGGGAACAGAATAAATGTGTAGGCTTACGGCTAACAGCCTATTTGTGAGTAAAAGCAAAGAATCTTATTTTAAAATAATGATAAATATCACGGGAAGCTGAACTGACTTAAACTCTTCAAGATCTAAACATCATTGTGTACACTTAAAAATCACAATGGAAAAATGGCTACAAAAAGCAGGTGAAGTTGTATCACAATCATAAATTGAAATAATATTTAAATGGTATTTCTCTTCCTTAATAATTACATACCAAATGCACACTTAAGGAGCATGTGTTGAAAGCACCAAAAATGTAACAGAAAGATCTGGTTACAAACACGATTCAAAATAATCCTTTAACTTTGGTATTTTAGTTGGCAAGCATTTTTGGTAATCATTTGGACTACCTACATACAATACTACAGAAAAGCAACGGAGCCTCCAACTGCACCATCCGATAGGCTAAACTTCTGTCTCTGCTTTAGATATACTCTCTTCAAGACACAATGGAAGGGAAGGAGGAAGATTTCACTCTTCTCAGAAGGTGGTATGGATCACTTTCAGCTTTCATAGACCTCCAACAGAACCCCAAAACATGCACTGTTCTTCCTACATGTCCTAACAGAAAGCGTAATGGCTCAAAACTCAGCACACATATAAAACATAATGGCACTGCAGTGCAAACAGCCAATCTGCATGCCTGTCTGCCATAGTCCAGACCTCTGCACCATAGATGAAAGGGCAAAAGCCATTTCCATACCACTTGGCCTAGGGACCAATGATACATCTTTAGAAATTATGCATTAAGCATTAAAATCAACAGTGAGACTAGTCCCTGAACAACAATTTTGACAATTTGAACTGATCATATAGGAATTTTCTTCCTACACGAAAATGTAATCACATGTAGCAGGTTAATCAAACCACTCTGACAGATACTACTGCAAAAACTGAACAGAAGTTCCTGTGCAGAGAGAGATAATATCCTAACAGTACAGGTCTTTTTCTCTTACTATTTACGATACAGGTAACAGAGATAACATTCCAATTACAATGTAAAACAGCTTTACAGTATGTCAAAAAGCAACATTGAGAAAAAGTAACAGGACACAGGTAATTTATGGAATAAACACAATATGTTCAGACACTCACTGAACACTGCATGGCTTATTTTCCATCAGTGAGTGTTCAACACAATTTGCTTTTTTTAATAGGTTCCTTTATAAGTTTACCTGTTGTAAAACAATAGGAATCCACTTTTCCTTTCCTTCTTCAGCTACTTCCAAAGTGTATTTGCTTCTATTTGAGATCATAAAAAATGGAGTGAAAGTAACAATTCTAGTAATATTAAAACTGCTGTTGTCTATGGTGACACCGACCTGTGAATAGGAAGACATTGTTAGAAGTGTGCTATTCTTTTCTTACCTCATTTATATCTTCTGAGACTAACGAATTTGAAAGATAAATTTAACTCACATGATAATCTTTTTTATGACTCTTGCATTTCACAGAACCATGGCTTCCAACAGTGTCCAGTGAAAACTGATCAGACAGTTCACTGTCAGTTACCATAAGCTGCACCTATGAAGAAGCACCCTGAATTAATTTTCAATTTACAGACACTGACAACATTTAAAATCATATCCAAAGTAAGTGTACATAGACACAAATATAAATGAATAGTGGAAATACTTGTGCTTCTATTCAAAACACAACAACTGCCAGTATAATCCCACAAAGATACTCTACTGAGTAAATCCAAGATTTTCTACCACTTCCAGTCACAAGCTATGTGGAAAAAGCACTAAAACTGTAAGATACTGCAGAGGAAACAACCACACAAGGATCCTTTCCAAAACTTACAATTAAAATCTCAAAGGCGAATCAATGATCATGTAATCTTTCCGGTATCATTCATCCATCAGTAACCAGCACTAAAAAAATCTCACACAGCAAACTCAAATGGTAAACTGCATCTGAACCTTAGCTTACTACCGACTTTGACCCAGTCTACCAACCACAATTGCAAAGATTCATTTTCAAGTACCACAACTTTACATTTCTTACACAACTTCTAGGTCTTATTTGGAATGAGGACCATTTCTTCATGCAGTTTAAATGGAATAAAGGAAATAGTCTTACTTAGGAAACATTTATCAGTTAATTTTACTACTCTCAAAGATGCGAATCTCCCTCTTAACAATACCTTTGATAACGTAAATTTCCCATCTCAAGTATATCTGACAACATGCTTATTTAAAATACGAGTTTAGACAGGTGTCATAGCTTTCATGACCTTTAGAGATCACAGCATAGCGTAGATAACTTCCAAAGAATAAAAATGCTTTCACACAACAACACAGGAGTACAGAGCTGTCGGGTTTTACAAAATATAATACCTTGTTGTTTTGGAAGAAGTTTTTGGGCTGGAAGGAGAAAAGGAGCGGCTTTTTGTAATCTGGAGGATGCTTGCGGTGAATACCATCAGCTTTGTACTGCAACATTCGACCAGTTTTATTCACCATCCAGTACGGACTGTGAATCTGTATAACCATCTGCCCAGTTGTGTAGGTCACGTGGACAGCAATATCCAGTTCAGTTTTATCCAACTCTGTGATGCAGTAAAATGTCGTAAAGCTGATATCGGGTAGATTGCTTTTTATATGGTACTCACTTTTCCAATTTTGATCAAGATAGTTAAGTAACTGCAAATCTAGTTTTGTTTGATCCAAGACTGCATTATGTATTTGGACTGAACATCCCTCTTGCAGAGTGTCATATTTGTTCCCATTTCCCTTTAAAAAAAAAACAAACAAAAAACCAAAAAACAACAAACCACAAACAACAGTGTACATTTAAATGAGTCACACTCAAAATTCATACCAACTTTTACTTTCTAGCTAGCTTTCAAAATTAAGATACCAGTTACTAAAGCAAAATTTTAAAATGCTTATTATGCTATTTAATTATGTAACATACTATGTCCTGAAACCAGGATGCACAATTAAACAGCCACCTTGACCCATTTTACAGAAAAAGAAAAACCCAAACCAACCCTATATTGTCATCAATATTTAACACACACACACACACACACACACACACACACACACACAAACTGTCACCAAACTCAAATACATAAACATGATTAAATACTGAGTGGATTTTCTCAAGTCAGTATTTCTTTCACTAAATTTAAATTTGTAAGAGAGAGATCTTGAGACAGAAAAGAGCTTGTTACTAACACACATCTGGTAGAGACAACAGTCTCTAGCTCTAGTAATTGTGTATTTGCAGCAAAATTTTTTACTAAATTCTACTATTTGAGCCCATATACTAAATATTATGGGCATCTGAGGAAAAAAAAAAAAAAAGTGCGGTTCACTGTCTTCCATCTGTATTTCTATTCTCTGATGTCTACACCAGCAGGCAGCGGGACACAACCCTAGCAGATCCACAGAATGAAACATTTAATGCTGAGAAACCAATGTCCACACTGTACACGTTTTAGGTGTTTTACTTGAGTCTGGCTTCCCACCCAGAATGAATGACTATTAACTGTCAAAAGTGCATCTAATCATTTAATTTCATCTGAAAAGGACAAAGTCTGGCACTAGGCTGCAATTCAAGCCAAAACCTGGCAAAAAGGCAGGCCTTTGAGAATTTGTTAAAAGCACACTACTGCTAAAATTCAGTGACAGCATGTAAAATGCTACTTTAGGCTGACCCACTTCTGTCACTTGAGGCAGTCATAATTCAAAGTAAAAACTATACTGTTTAATTAGGTTCAAGCTGCACTTAAGCAACAGAAAGTGACTCACAGGGCTAAACTTGTACAGTGTAAGCTTTACTTCACATATGTATTTAAAGTATGACCTATTACTAATGATTAATACCAACACTTTTCACAATCTGGTACTGCTTCATTTCTGTAAATACAGATTTACCCTTATAAGATCTGTAAACTTGCTTCACAACTACTCTAACAGAAGCCCTGTTTTTTAATATCCATTTATAAACATATTTTAACCAGCTTATGAACTTTCATATCATAGGTGGGAAACATCACAAAAAAATTAAACATTAAAGAATTACCTCTAGAGAATAAGTTATTTGATAAGGAAGAAGATTACGGAGAAGAACAGAAGGCCATAAATGAACAACATATGGAAAATCCCACTGATCTTCTGCACATAATGAAGTTGTCAACATGTCTTTTACAGGAACAATATTGATGATAAGTGAGTGGTTAGTTGACCTCACAGACTGGCATTTCCTCTGTAATAAACTGTCAACATTTTTCATGATTTCATCAAATGTAATTCCTTCACACATATCATATTCTCCTTCCACTCCATTTTCATTGGCTAGTGGTTGCAAACTCAGTATTGATCTGTAAAAGAAAATATTTTTTAAACACTCAATATGACACTGAATTTTTCATTTCTGAAAAAGTACTATGCAACATTCATTCTATGATTATTTGGATTTTGGAAGATTTCTGACAGTAATTCATTTTGTTAGTAAACTTCTCCTGAATGAAATGTTTACCATGTGAAAAGTTTAAATGTGCCTGGTCAAACTCACCTATGTATCTGTTCAATGAATTTAGAATGTCACTAAGCCTTATTAAATAAATGTAATCAGAGATACTTACTAATTAACATTATCCACAAAAAAGCATAGCTTATTTAACAAAAAAGACACACAGCTGTCATCTTAAAAAAAAAAAAAATGGAGGGAGAGTGTTTGCAGGAAAACAGAAAGAAAAAGTCTCCATAATCATAAGAAAGCAACAATCAAAGCAAACTTATCTGCCTAAAAGTTGGTGGCAGTTCAGCTAAATTGTACATACAAACTCATTGCAGTTTCAATGAGTATTAGCTTGAAGGTGCTAATAGTAAAGATGTTCTGGAAACCAAGTCTTTATAAGGTTGACAAGCCTTTCTACATCTGTGATAGAGTTTAAGTGTATCAATTTCAGTTTTTTATTTCAGAATCACAAATAACAAAAGCAGCTTTTTTAAAGGGAAGAAAAAAAGCTGTAATGCATCACTAGATATTACTCCTCTAAGAAAACAGTCTGCACTGTATGGGTAACAATCACAAGCAGCACCTGGGCTTGGATTCTTAAAGTAACTTAGTTCATAGAATCATAAAATAGTTAGGGTTGGAAAGGACCTTAAGATCATCTAGTTCCAACCCTCTGCCATGAGCAGGGACACCACACACTAAACTATGTCGCCCAAGGCTCTGTCCAACCTGGCCTTGAACACCACCAGGGTTGGAGCATGATTAGTTAATTTAAGTTGTCCTGTAAAATGGATTTCAAAAGACTTCCAATTCAAGAATTATACAGTATTCTATTTAACCCAAACTAGGTGGTCTGAGAAGACCACACCCAACAATGACAATACAATCATAATTATAGTATTAGGTAGCAAACAGAAACTTTTTTTAGTGTAATTGTATGGATACAATAATCAACAATCTATAAACATATTCCATGATAAAAGAACAATGCAACAAAGTACCTGTAAGAGGACAACGGTATGTTGAATTCATTTTCTGGTGAAGCAGTCCCTATACATCTTCCTTCCTCAAAAATATTTAACGGGATTGAAAAATGATTCCTTATCTAAGTGAAATAAAAATCCAGCAACATGCATTAGGAAAAAATGCAAAGATTCAGTGTTTTAAACCTAACAGAGGACAGAACAAGTAGTCTCTTATTTTTCACTTACTCATTTACCATTCCAGATCAGGTATTTCAAAAGAATTGTCTCCAATACCAGGGAATCTCCTTAAAAGATTTGGTTGTGCAGTTTAATGCTATATTTTAAGTGAACATATTAGCTGTAAAATTTTTTTTAAGGAGAAACATAAAGCCCTTTAAAAATAAATACAAGTAGATCTGAACCATATCATAAATTTCCAAAGAACTTTCTCCTAAAAATTATAACAGATACAAGGCTGTGGGGGTCAAAAATCCACAAGGTAAGTCAAATATGCATTTTAAGGTTAAGCCATCAGCAATCATTATAATTTGGGGGGTATATAGCGCTTTTTGTTCTTTGCAAACATTAGTTTTTTTACTTTATGGTTACTTTAATGGCATTATTAGCTCTGGGCAAAAAATACTAATTTAGGTAAGTATAAAACAGTAAACCTGGTTATTAACCAAGTCATAAACCACTTTGGGCAAAAGCAGCAACTGATACATAACAGGGTCATTACCACTATAGAGCACTAATAACTGGATCATCCCTATACTTGTAAATTATATATTAAACTATATGTATAATACTATTCAATTAAAAAAAGATAGAGACACAAAGGGCTCACTCTTCAGCTGATTGTTCCTAATTTGAAATTCATGTCTCAATCGTAGAGAACGAAGAAAAAAAATAATCTGATAGATAACAACCTTGCATCATCAAGGTAAGGTCAAGAGAAGTTTGATCACTTCACACAAAGCAAGTATGTCAACAAGACTGCAATTACAGCTAGTATTGTAAGACATTACTGATGAATTATCCTGATCTAAAATCTGGTCCAAGCACTTCCACCCACGCTCTGCCTTTGTCACTTTGGAAAAGCTTTTTATTCTTGAAACAGTCTTCTGAACTACCTTAGAATACATAACAGCTATGTTATATGAATTGTTTAGGTAAACTTTTTAAACATTTTTTTAATGCTTATTTAAAGACTACAGGATCATTTTTATTCATTAAAAAATTTAAATAATAATGAAATTATAATGTATGTAAATATAACAACCTGAATAGGAGAACGTATAGTTATCATCTTGCTTCCTTCAACAGTATCAATTTGACAGACAATGGCCCTTTCAACACCTGATTCATCATGTCTCACTCTGTAAATACATCGACCCACTTTTGTCAGTGGAATCTTTTCTACAGTGGAATGATTATGTGGACCTAGAATTTATAAGATGAGAAATAAAAGAGAAATAAAAGGAGCATAAGATACATTTGAAAGACAAAAATGCATATTCAGTAGAATTTTCTGTATCAACCTATTAAAAAAAAAAGGTAAAGCAAATGAAAAGGTACAATCCCACTTTTAATATGCCAATTTTGCAGTGTTCCTAAGAAACAGAAAGATTTTTTTTCACCAGATGAAAAAGAGTCAAGTGGGTTTTGTCACTACAAATAAAATTAGTGCCCGAAGAGAAATGTTTACAATATGTAATGGCTTTTTAACAAGGTATGGTTAAAATTTCCAAATTGTGGAAACAATTCAACTAATTAATAACACAGTCAAGACCATTTGTAAAAATCAGTTTTGGAAAAAACCTGTGAATTGATACAATAAATCAACTTAATTTTTAACATATTTACATTAAAACTAGATAAATGTTACTTTTTTTTTTTTTTTGCTATTTTAGCTTTAACTGTGTTTTACTTAAAATGAATTTAAAAAAAATCTTTTCTTACAAAGATCCCCTTTAAGAGGAACTTTTTCTATGAACACTCATATATACATCTATCTATCTATCTATCTATATACAGGCCTCAATACTACAAAAAATAAAACTGAGGTGGCTTAATTCTGCATTAACTTTTGAATGCAAACAAATACTTGACTGCAGTAAAATCATGAAATAAAGATCAGTTACCTAAACAAATTATCATAGTAGAAAATTTATGCTATGAAAATTAACGTGATACATGTAACTTTTAGGTGTGAAGAATAAAGCAGGATTTCAAATACTGCCATGCACAGAGACACTCCTTTCACATTATGTAATTCCCCAATACTTACTGACATGTACAAGATGCAGTATTATGTATGATGCACTACTTACAATAACAGAAGATGTATGAACTTTGGAACTTACAGATCTGAATGTAAAACCTCTTGCTGCAAAGAGTTGTCATTGCTGTGAACTGGTCACTCTCATTTTTAGTTCTGACAAATTCCATATTTAAATTCTCTTCATCTCTTAGAATAAATGTTTTTGCTCCAAATTCAACATTAAGGACACTAAAGGAATCACTAGGTGCGACAGTGATGGGAAGTCCTAAAGAATTTATTATTACAAATGGTGCTCGGTCTTTTTTGAAGATGTCTGAAGTTTGACTAGCTGCTTCAGCAAATGCCTAGAAAACAAAATATAGATACAAACCACAAATATATTAAATAAGATTTCATCAAGATGATCTGCACAAACATTCATTTAACATTACTGACACTGCATAGTTAAGCAAACTTTCTTACCGTGCCCAAGTTACTTAACATTTGTAGTCCACATTTGGATAACGTAATGTTCAGCTGGTCTTTTGAAGAAATATTTATTACTGTTTTATATTCTGGAATTTTGAAGTGTTCTTCTTCTGCATCTGATTCAACCAATGCTTTTTTAGCCTTCTTCTTCATCTGAAACGAGATTTTTAAAGAATTCTTATCTGACCACTTATTCTGTAGAAGTAAGTTTTACCTCAAAACTCCTTCTGTCTCCCTTTCCCACTTCTATGACCTGTCAAAGTTTTCTTTTTTCTGTTCATGTTTTTATTCTCAAATAAATACAGAAGAAGACAAGAATAAAGAAAGCAAGAAGCAGAAGATGTATTTCAGAAGTCAGTAATAGTAGGTAAATTTATGATTATTCAAAACTTAAGAACATACAGCTATATACAGCCACTAACATATCCAGTAAATGCTGTGTGAAAACAGTCATTGTAACATATCTAATAACACTGTAAAAACTATTATATACAACCAATTTTCTCTTCTTAGAAGAGTAACATCAAATTTAGTCCCTTACGTTTCCAAACCAAATACATTTTCCTGGCCTTCAACATTTCTGGAAATTATCTATTTCCAAATGTTGTAATTCAAATCTGGGCAAGAAGATCAAACGTTTGACTCGCTGTCTTCTACCCTTCTTCTGCATTAGGTCTCATACCTTTCTAGAAAATTCTTAGGAATATTTTTAATAGCAATTTCCTGATTGCAGTATCTCAGTCAATAATCCTTACCCTTCTGAGGCCATTAATTATTTCAGAAAGTTGTTTGATAATGACAGTCCTAGGAAAAGGGCAGGTTTCCTATTCTGAGCAACCTCTCACGCTACAAATACTTGAAGAGTTTTGAAAAAGAAAAAGGCGGGCAGGAGAAGTATCACTCTTCCTTAGATAAATGCTTATCTACTTTGAGACCAGAATTTCCCTATGAAGGATGGAACTGAAGTGTGGTAAGAACACTGTTCACACAGCAGACTTTGTGCTAGTCAATAATGGGTATCAGTTTTTCCAGTAAATTTCCACTACAGGTACTACTGCGCAATGAGATCTTTCCAAAGCCACTAAATGCATCATCAGCATACAACCTAGTTTCAGAGAAACCAATATAATGCCATTATGATTATCTACTGCAAGTGGAATCAAATTCTCTTGCCACCTGAAAGACAGTATTATTTAACAGATCTGCAAGTCTGGATCTTGACTCATGCAAAAGCAGTTTTCCTTCACTAATTGGGAAAAAAAGTCTTGGCACCAACAAGAGGGAACACAATTGTTAGATTAGCCTCATCTATGAAAGATGCAGAGCATTTGTTTTTATTAAGGTAGTGAAATGGAAGATTTGAGTTCCACTTCGGAAAATATACCTTGATTTCAAGAACCCACGGTTTGAATAAATCAGTCTTCTCAACTTCTAGTGGTTCAAGCAAAGGTTCCCACACCCCAAACATCTCATTAAAATAGTGTACCTGTCAAAATGCAGAAGTCAATTAGGAAGTTACATTCAACTGTTAAATCAATGGAAGCTCTACAGATTTTAAGACTTAAAATTCTCGTTTAAAAGTATATTAATTACCTTGGTAACATGAAAGATTTATAATCAGGCTGAACTTAGAGTTGAGTCTATACTGCAAAGACCCACTTCCAAATAAGCGGTATAAAGTATGTCACTTAAAATACAATTTTGACCTAAGCCGTAGGCACTGGAAGTGCCTATTAAAAAAAAAAAATTTACTCACAACAACCACTGAATTTTATGTCACTAATTTCCAAATATGAGCCACTGTGAACATTTTATGTACAATACTGGTACCACATAGTATTTTATAGAAATGACATATGAATATATTCTACTGTAATCTTAAATTAAGATTGTCACACAGGTTTTTGGGAGGTTTGTGCAGAATATAAATATGAGATTGTATAACACCAATTACTGCCATTAATACATTTCATACATGATATTTTAACTACGTTAACCCTCCTCGTTCCTATCCTGCTCCTGAAACATATATTTGTAAGAGTTTAGTCATCAAATATACGGATTATTTTTCCTTTATTGTCTAAGTAACGTGACAGGTTCAATATCCTAAGAAAACTTTTATTTCTTATGTAGGATTCCTCACCTCTAGCTCCAGACGAGAACGTAGGTTGATTAAAGTACTCCAGTTTTTGACTTCCCCGAGAAATGAGGACTTAGCTAAAAGCATCGGTACAGTTCGGTGCCCAACACCAGCTTCAAGTGTTATAAAAACAGATTCTATATTCATTTTCAATGACTCTCCTGTGGGCACCAGTTCAGCAGTTGGATTTTTATCTTCATTTTCATTTGACTCTTCAAGAAACCACATTTTTAGATTTTTTATATCTTTCTTATTCCACAGGTCTGGAGGAATTGGACTGACCTCTTTTTCTGTTGTTTCTGCAGTTTGATAAAGGGCTGATGTAATAGTAATTACTGTGTTTATGATTATTGGTGAAACCTACAGTTAAACATTGGAAAAATTTGAAATGAGAAGCTAGTACAGGGAAAAGCTACTTTCAGAAACAAAATTATAATGAACATGTTACACTAACAAAACACTTCTGTTCTCTACAGGGCTTCTATATTTGAAAACTCATTACTTTCCATAAAATACAGATTTTCAGCCCCTGCCTTTCTTCCAGATGGAAGCTTTCTAAACTACATCATTCAATGCTCTATTTGAACACTTCAAAACTTATCTCTGCAGACCAGGCCATTTTATAAAACACAGATTCCAAAACCAAAACACTGTGACACAACTGTTAATTTTCAATTTTGTTTGTTTTCACATGCTAAACAGATAGCTGACCTGATAAAGAACAGAAACAATTCCCCTCTTCAGTCATTTCTGATTTTTTCTTATTTTTCTTCCTAAGAAACATATCCCACAAGCAACTTCAAAGCTTGTAAGAAGAAAGTAGTAGTGAACTAAAAACATAATAAAAGTGTACCTACTTTTATTGTTAGAGATCTAATCGTTAGATCAACTGTCTGTGGATTAGTACTTGACTGTTTCATTTCAAAGAAGAAGTCACAAGGCTGTAACACCTATACAAAAGAGTAAAAACAAATAGAGAAAAAGAATCTTTTTAAAATCATATACTTTTAAATACTACATACCAAATGTACTGAAAGGAAAAGTAAACAAGAAAAAGACAGCATCCAAAGCATCACCTCAGCCACTCATCATTAAATCATTAAAGATTCAAACACCACCTACAATAAAATGCATTACACTTCAGTAACTCTATTCTTTAGGTGAAGTCTGCATATGTCTTCAGGTACACCGTATCACCATTCCTGTGACTTCTGAGAACCAGACTTTCAGTTAAGGGCAACACAGCAACAACAGTGACAGTTTTCCTGAATAAAAATATCAGTTTGAATCATAATCACTCAGTTCCAGCTTTATTTTACAATCAGTCCTTGCATACTCTCACTTGCCAAGTTTTACCACAACCTAATCTAAAGTACACTATATTAAAAAAAAAAAAAAAAAAATAGTGCTATGTGATTAATAAAGCACTCGGATGTAATTAAGACTCTACTGAGACTGTATTGACAAGAAAATTTATTCTGCAGTCCCTGCGTGAGAAAATATGTCTTTCAAGAAGTCCCTAAAGATTGGGCAATATAAACTCTTCATGTCAGTATCAGCCTTCAGCAATCTTGTAATCTTGTTGTAACATCATACATTTTCTTTCTTCACTAAAGGAGGTCATACAGTATCATCTGAATTTCTATTTCTCCAATTATTTTCCTAGACTGAAAGAGTATCGTTTACAGAAAACTTGGGTTCAAAGGTTTCCTTACGTACATGTTTTCAAAAGGAGCACTTATGCTGCTTCCTGCAGAGAATGTCTTCATTTTTGACCTCTACTATTTTACTACTCAAGTACTTTCTGAAATTTTCAAAGGTGGTACCATCTGAAGCATCAAACTAAAGCCCTCTGACGTTTTTTCCCTCCTTATAGCACAAGCATCCTGCCAAATACAGGTCTTTGTTTCTAGAGTCTGAGAGAAAAGATTCTCGCAGTAGATATTGCCATAAGATGGAAAGCTTGGTGTGAAGCCTTTTAATGGCTTTTTACAAAGGTAGCCACATTTGTGCCATATTCCCCTGCTACAGAAATGGAAGTTCTGCGTTGTGTTGTGGCTATCAGTGCAAGTGCACCACTTTCTCAATAACTAGATTGTTAACAGATTAATGCAGTCGAAACGTCTGTCTACCCAAGGAATAAACTAAGCTGCTATGATAAGTGGAAGTTGTAATCCTGTCTACTTACAGCTTCGGTCTTTCCTACATAGTTCCACAGAGTAAGTAGGCACTAATGCAGAGCTGCAAAGACACATTCTTCAAAATTCATCTGTGTTTTGAGGACACAGATAACACTTGGATATACTGCCAAATTGATTTTTTTCTGTGGTGCAACTAGGTATAGTGGTTTTAGCTATAGAGCCAGAAAAGCTCTAGAAACTCCAGAAGTCAATACATTCCACCTGGTCATTAAAACTAATAAGTCTAATTTTGTTGCCAAAATACAAAGAAGCAATTTTAATATAATGGATCTATGGACCTTAACACAGAAGAATTTATGAACAGCATACCATAAGTAATATATTTCATAATACATACTTCCCATTCGGTCTGTGATCTTTTGTTACTCATGTAGCTATTTAACACAAAGTTACAGACTGAAAGTATTCCAAATTTACTATGTTGCATTTGAAATAGTGTACACTCATAAAATTCTATTTATATGGCTTACACAGGATACAAGATTATTAACATATTACTCTCCTAGGCTTTTTATTTTAGCTTGACATACTAAGCAAACCTCAAAACCACAGATCAAGATGATGCTTTTGGCATATCAGACCAAATAGAATAAAATCAACAAAATAAGCTAGCCACAAAATTTTACTCTTATGTCTGTAATATACATTTTAATGTGAAAGCTTCGGAAATAACTTGCATTCTAGTAATATGTTACACAGCACCTGTTAAATACAAAGAGGATGTTTGCAAACTCACCGTAGTGATGTTTCCTTTCCTTTCTTCTGGAAGAAATGGGCATGCTTTCATTTGTAACTCTTTAACAGCAGCTGTCATGCTATACCTTTCAGGACTATTTTTAATGAAGACCTCACATTGTGTTGTAACTACCAGTGCAGGAGCATCGCTTCTTGTTAAGTCGGCCACAAACACAATCTCTGGATTTTTAACAACAATGTTCATTTCCATTGTAGATATAGGCTGCACAGGTGCTTCAAAAATATAAATTAAATTAGCTTAATTGTTCACATTAAATTGTCATTATTTACAGCTCTCATAATTTACAGAGACATTTAAAAGATCTAGCACTACCAGTGTCAGAAAACCTGTAGATCCCAGGGATCAAAATATTTCTAGGCTCCTCACTGGAAATACAAAACCATTAAAGCTCTAGTTACTTTCAGATACAATAAAAGATTCCACAAAGCTTCTTTGTCAATCAGTTTCACCACTATTGCTTGCTACCTCTATTATCAGCTTCACTAAATATCTAAATCAGCCATCTCAATAGGGTCTTACAAAAAAGCTGAAATGCTGGACACATTTTCTGCTCTCTGGAGTGGCAAAACACACATTTTTCCATAAGACAGTAATGTAGCTTTTACTAGTGCTTGATCTAGCCATTTGCAGTACTAATATACTTCTATGTAAGACTTCCTATGTTCAGCTTTCGATCATCTGTTAAATAATCACAGCAGGCCTACCTGAGGTTGACACAACTAAGATACTTAGAGTACAGGAAAACATACAAAATAAGACTTGGTTTGCAAACCTCATGTGAACTACAATGGCCTGGAAGCATAAATAGGTCATTTACTGCTCTGATGCTCTATTGGGCTAATTTCTGATGTCAGATACAGGGTCCTGTACTAGAAAGATCTTAGAGACTCAAGCTAAAAGCATGTTCACTGATGGAGAGAGAAATGCATGTCAGTGAACAACTAAAATAACAACATTTCTAGGCAGCAACATCAGGCAGGCTGAGTTCATATGTAAGCATAATATAATATGCTCCATCCTTCTGTGGAAGGATGAAAATGATGATGGCGGTAATCATCATCATAAACTTAGTTGAAACTGAAAAGATAGTGAGTGCCAGCAGTAACTGTCCTTTCCCATTTTTGTTTATTTTAGACATACATTTTTATGTATTTCCTTTGTGTGGTAAGACAAAGCTTCATTTAAAAACAGACACCAAGGGACATGAACCAATTTCCAGAATGCAAAGAAAGAAATATCAATTGTTAAAAGAATTCGTTCTGTACACATGAACACAGGAAATAGCATAAAGGAGTATTATAATTTTGGAAATAATATTATAATACAAAAATTAAATGGATATTTAAATGGAAATTTAAAAATATTTCCAGTATATACCTTGCTCCTTTGAAGGTAATGACTGTTTGAGATTTCTCTGTGCAGCAGCACTTTCTGCATTAGCCTTTAAGAATATATCTGCAACAGTAAGCAGAAACTCCATGCTTGCACAAAGGTATATCTCTTGAACAATCACATCAAGAACAGTGCCATCTCTCCCCTGCTTATAGCTTATATCCATCATAACTTTCTTGTCGAATCCATGTTTCATTTCCACCATTCTGAAAGACCATTAAGGCAGAATTTAATGACACAATAAAAATCAGCCACAAGTTCTGAAAAACACTCAATATTCTCACCCCACCAATACATTAACAAGAGTGAATTTAAATAGGAACACCAACAATTTTAAAAATTGATTGACACAAACATCAACATAAATTCTACAGAACTTCAAAATTAAGTAGATTCCCATACACCGGCAACTAAAGGTGTTCATAATTTTAACAAGTTATACCATCACAATTCCATGTTTACATATCAAAAGTATAGTTTACTGACATCTGGGTTTTTTTCATGGAGAGGAACAATGTTAGTCTTACTTAGTCAGCAGTTTATTAAAGCTAAAAATGAAATTCGTTTCTCCATGCATTTATTCATTTTGTATTTAAAGTTTTGTTTAGTTCATATTTAATTTGTTTCTAGCATTTATACTGGTCTCATAAGCAACATATGAAACAAAAGGCAAGACAGACACAGAAGTCTACAGTAATATGTACTTTAAGAACTATCTACACCAAAACAACTGCAGTTTTAACACAATGATAAAATGGAAACATTTGGAACTTTTTGTCAAACTTCAATAAACAGTAATTTATGTCAAAACACAGACCTTGGTGTAGCCATCTGGATTGACTGTCTTTTATCATCTAATGTGCAGTTCGCCAGCTTGACTGAAGCATTCATTGAACCATCGGATAACATTTTGACAGCAGCTGACATCAAACCTAATTTAAACTCTGCAAGCTTCAAAAGGTCATCTCTCTGATCCAAATTTGTAACCTGCTTAAATCAAATGAAAATATGTTTGTAGACTTGCTTATAGGTAATGTAAATAATACACATTTGCGATATACAGCTTTCTTCTAACTGGTAAAATTTCTAATAATGATATATTAAATGACCAGTAATTCAAAAGACAACAAAAAATCAGTAACATGCAGAGAAGGGGGGGAGGTGCGAAAGCAAAGCAAAGCTTTACACTTCTAACAGCTTTGCAAAGCAAGCTTACATTAGTGAGAGGGAGACAATGTTTAAAAGAAAGTAGAACTATCACATGCAATTTCAGTTTGTGTGCTGTCTAAAAAAATACACAGTGTATGCAAAGACGACAAGTAAGAAATTAAGTTTTGTCTCTTGTGACTACATGGTGTTCAGCCAGATACTGGAAAATTGTCCAAAATCTACAATAACAGACTACAAGTTTAAAATAAAATATTACTAAACTTTTAGTCAGAAATTTGCTGACGAGTTTTGTAAATTTAAACCAAGAGGAATAATAATGTATTCATACTGTAACACAAATTTAAAATCTCCCTCCACAATTTTATTTATATACCTGTTTGTGTCCACACATGTCTAACTTAAAGAATAGGCTGCATCCCTCTGCATTTTCTTCTTCCCAAACTGTATTTTAAACTACAGTAAGTTTTCAGCAAATTTTTATTAGTACCACAGAAAATGCCACATATTACATGCTACCACTGGTTACACCTTTTCCTGTAACATTTGCCATGATGTTTAGTTAAAATAGCTATTTATCATTTCCATCGTGTTTGTTGCTACTGTTAGAAATCATTTCCTCTGCTCCTAAATTAAACTGCTCCTGTTCAGAATTTCCAGCAGTCTAGGCAGCCTTGAAGTTGTTTCTTTATCTTTGTAACCAAAATTATATTTACCTGTTTTGAATCTGGACTATACAATACTAAAGTCAGAGAGTCGAATCTGAAGTCCAGTTTTAGTGTTGTTTTTATTTTCATAGATGAATGCAATTCCACTACGGCTGATGTCACAACAGTTACACCTTTTGAAAATTAGAAAAACACTTATTATCAAAGACTATTACCTGACTGCAAACAAGGAAAAACTAAAACCTACATCCTCACTAATGACACTATAAAGACACCAACTTCCCCTTCTTTCACACATAAATCCACCCACAATAAGGATATTATCATGCTTTCTGTAATTACCTTTCGCAAAAAGCACAAAATGTTCGAGAACACAAAATACTCTGCTTATATATTCTATATGCATTTTTTACCATCTTTAAAAGACATAAATGTACAACTTCCTTTAATATTATGGTTCTATGTGCAAGAATGTTACAAAGAATGCAACTTTACTTTCATCCTTATTTGTTCATCTTGCCACATTTTTTTTCAGTCTCTGCTGAATAGTTCATGGGCAATGATGCCACCGAATAGGAACAACTTTCAGGGATGACACCATTATGACAAGAAGAACAGATCTAAAACTGAACAGCAACAGAACCAGCATACACAGGAAAGAGAGTAAAATACCACCTTTCCCAAGTTGAGATGTTAGCAACTCCAGTTGACAGAGTTTTAGGTGCTCACTGCATTACTGCCAGTGGAACAAGACAGTCCTTATATTAAGACACATAATGCTGTAAAACTCACTTCAGTACACCAGTTGCTTCTATTTGTTATCATTATTGTTTGGTACAGTTCAAACCACAATGTCAAGATAACAGAGGCATACTGTTAAAAATAACCGAATCTGGCATCCTTTCATAAAGACAATTCTAACAGAAATAATAGATTGCCAGTAATACCTAAAAATGCTAGACCACATGGAATTTTAGAAAACACTACCTGCAGAGTGCTGTGAAGTACTATGCAAATCACTACATTGGCTAGTAGTATCTTTCGGCTCTGGTAAAGATGTTGTTGCATCAGAGCTTCCACCTATATTTTCATTTAGTGTCCTCAATATCATGGTAATATCTTCCTGACTGAGAATTAGCTTAAAAAACAATAAAATAAAAAAAAAATTATTAATAATTGTTATTAAACTCAGAACAAATCAGTTAATTCAACTTTTGGTAACTAAAATTAAGTTAACAAATAAACAGATAACCCAAATTAGCTTCATCTGAGTCTCTGTTTAGGAGACTACAGCACCAAGTAAAATGTTTTTCTCAAATCCACACATACCGTTTTTGCTTTGATCTAAGAACTTTCTTTACAAAGCTACAATTTAGAAATTGAACGTTAGAAGTTGTACCCATACAGAGTGACTTACAGTTGCACAAAATCATCCACAATTAAGTCACAAGGTACTTTACAGTAACAGTCACTAGTTCTATTTCAAAATTTGGTAAATTGGTTTCCCTCATACGACTGATAAACTTTTTCTTTTTTTACGTGAAATTTAAACGAGCATATACACTAACTCAGAACTTGTCACAAGTATGACTTCAGCAGGTGATAACGCTGTTATTGAACAGACCAATAAACCCCTACTTTTTCCAACCCTTCTTTGAAAGATACTGACTGGTAAAAGAAGGCTATAACATTATATCCACTTCCAACTAGCAACAGTAGGAGATAGTACAAAGTCTGCCTGTAGTATCACAGGTGAAATAGAGAGCTTAGATTAGAAAAGAAAGCTACTGACTTCCTTTTTCCCCATGAAACGACAAAATCTGTTCTACCTATACATCTTGAAATGAAAAAGTACCCCAAGGAACTTGGATTTTATGGACAGAAAACCAAATCAATTTTCCATGGATATTTTAACAGCTGCTTTCAGAAATGAGTGCTTACATTCATAGGCTTGAGTAGGCCAGATATTTCAATATCAGGAACTTCGTTATACCATGAGGCAGCTAAATTTCGTTCAACAACTACTTCCAGATTGAGTGGCTGCAGCAACTGTACTTCAGTTTGTAATGAATCCTGCTCATAGCATGATCTGTGAAAAGAAAGAAAATGCTCCCAACTTGACACACTTCACTTACACATTCTAACAGACTTCTGTCTTTTCCTCATCTTTTTGAACAGTACCGTAAAATATTCTTCATACTGCTCCTAGTATCTCTAACTAAAGCCGTACTCCACCAACTAGACATCTTTTCTTAGCAGAGAGGAGACACTTCAGCCATATACTCCCAGTATCTCTAGCTAAAGCCTTACTCAACCAATCAGACATCTTTTCTTAGCAGGGAGGAGATACTTCAGACACCCAACACACTAACTTCTTGCAAGTTAGGACCTCTTACCTGTATAACTTCAGTTCACTCAATTGCTTCTTTCTTCAGTATTCTGCAACTGTGCTTGAAAATTCCCTTCCCTCTCTCCCTCTCCCAATGTCCTGCCCATTTTCAAACACTTCTTTATGGCTATGTGACTTGGTATCTTTCCTGCTATATATAGAAATCATAAAATCATATAGGTTGGAAAACATCTTCAAGATTATCTTCAAGACTCCAACTGGCCACCCAACACTACCATGTCTACCGCTAACTCATATCCCTAAGCACTTTGAAAACTCCATCAAAATAGCCTTTACAAATCAATATAACCTGTTTCAAAGAAGTGAAGGATGCGTAAGTCTATTATTCTACATAATAGCCTCTAAACAAACATTTGCTTCTATTTAAATATGTGTAGATGGCCACTTCACCTAAACCATACATATTAACTGCTTTACAAATTCTTTATTTGTTGTTGTATTTCAAGATAATAGTGTATCCATCAACATCAACTAATTATTTGATAACAACTTCTCAGAGCTCTCCAACTGAAGTGTCCCAAAAGGATTACATGAGTTTAAAAAAAAAAAAAAAAAAAAAAAGTCTTAACACTATATTACCTGTATAACTTCAGTTCACTCAATTTCACTGTCATAGAGTCAACAACAGGCGGGAGATTATACTGTGTTTTTGTTTTAGAGATAAAGAACTGGTTCTTCACAGTGATTAGACCAAGATCAGCCACCAGGACATTTGCAGACATTGCTGACTGTGGAACTATCACAACAGGTGCTTTAATATTGATATCTAGTGCCAAACGGGAACTACGCTCTGCTAGTTCTTTTACACCCGTAGCTGCTTTCTCTGCTGCTTGAACAGTTGCCTCAGTAAGAGCTTCCTTGGCTGCTTGAAAGTTATTTACAAAAGCCTAGAAAAAGAAAACATTAATTGGGATTAATAATTAGACAACTTCAAAAGCACTTACGAATCACAGGTTTTTTAAAGAGCAAACCATCTTGAGATACTCTTTTTCCATGCACTTTTCCTGAATTCATTAAAGAATAATCTCCCCCCAAAATACAATAAAGAATTCATACAGGTAAAAATAAATTTCCATACTAAATATTTGGTAAATTAGATATTATCAGCAATGACCCTGTAATATGACTTGTATGAATTATGTTTTATTTACTTGTATGGAGAGTAAAAGATTTACTTAGAATTTATGGAAAAGGCATTAATTTTCATGGTTTACTACTTGTATTTCAGTGCTAAAAACAATGAACAGAAAATTACTAACAGTAATAACAAATACTATTGCTTAGCCACCTCTCCACAATGAGAAACATATGAAGAAGGAAAGTAATAACCCAACCACCAATCCAAGTGAAGTTTTTACAACAGCTTATAAGAGTTCTTACACAAATGGGCACCACTCAACACGGGATGTTTTATCCTTTACTAGGTCTGACAGTGTTATCTGAATGCTGAAGAACAGTATCTGGAAAACGTAACTTACCAAAATAGATGAAACAAATTTGTTGACAAAAACTACTTGAATACACCCAACAGTCAGGTAAATACGATTGTCAACAACATTCATATTTGTATATGCAATGCCATCCGTAGCATTCACATATGATATCATTCTAAAGTTGAAGACTTCTTTTCCCGTGATGTAAAGAGCCTTAGGAAGACACACACACACACAAAAAATAAAAAAAAAAAAAGTGTCTGCTGTAAAAAAAAAAACTTATAGCAGAGAAACTGAATTCCAAAATGAAATGTGGTACTCCCATTTCAGTACTTCACACCTTCAAAACATTTTACTTCAAATATTTCAATAATAAATGAAATACATAAAAATCCTTGAAACTGCTGAAAATACTCAGTTAGAATCTCAGCCTGAATAATAATTATGTCCATTAGTCAACAAAATAAGGAGTGTAATGAGTAGGTGGGCATCACAGTTCCACAAAAATCAGTGTCAGCCTAACAACTGCTGGTTGTGGGGGCACAATGAGTCTGCCTATATAGAGAATAATGCTCCCAGAAAATACATAAAATATTATTAAAACAGAAAAAAAATAAATCACAGCTAAAGGGTACAAGTCCAGAAAGGAACGTCAATTGAGAATCTATATTCCATTCAGAAATCAATGACATACGAAAATGCATACCTTTTTATACAATGCTGTCTCATCAGAATCCACAATAATGATGTTTTTTAATTTTGCAGTTACTTCTGTTGCTGATTTTTTCATGATCACTTGGCTATCCAGACCTTAAAAAAAGGAATGCAAAATCTAGAGACGATTATTGTTACAAAGTTTTGTGTCTTTGTGACTGAAGTTTTGTTCCTACCTTCAATGTGAATTTCAGCTATTCTGTGTTTTTTCTCGGTAATAAAGATACGTAAACAAGATAAATCCGCACAGATATTGAGGTCAATAACATCTTCATACTTCGATTTTTTTGATGCTGTGGGAAATATTAAACAATAAAGTTATAGTTCTTCAAGGAGGAGACGTAATATTTTAGGATCCCTTTCCCAAAGCTTTGTTTGTATCAAGCCTGCAGCACTGGCAAAATGCACTGCACTCATACTAGCAAGCACGACACAAAGGAAGTATATACACCAGATTTTATACTTAGGAGTCCTTATGTGCTTCAAAAACTGTGGTAATCAACATGAGTATTTTATTAACTGCAAGAAATACACTTAATATACCTCTACATAGCACAATGCAAAATTAGAGACAAGTTATTCAGGACTAAGTTTACCTCAAATAGTGGTAACATGACAGCTACTTTAATACACTACCCTTCTGGTCTATTGATTAGTCATTTGCAATCACTGGTCTTGTTTATATATGGCAGGCAATGTTTTATTTTATCTCCACAACCTGTATTTTCTAAACTTAAGTTTTAAACATGAAAAAAACATTAATATAACGAGACATTGAAGATTACGGACAGTGAGCATCCTTGAAAATGAGTATGGGCACCCTTAACAACTATAAAAAGATAGAAACACAAATATAGTGCCTTTCAGAACACAGGTGTCCAAATACTTAGTCCCTTTTTGTTTTTTTCCAAAACTGAGTACGAGTAAAAATACGCTATTTCATGTTAACAGAAATAATGTCCATATATCCATTTGAGATACCACAACACTACCTGCAGGTACAATGCTAAATACAGAAATCAACAGATAAGGGACTCAACCAATAACTTAGTCCATTTTTTTCTTAAAGTCAAATCGGAAATAGTATTATATGCTACTTCAAACGACAATGGGAAGTATCATATCTTGTATTCAGGGACTTTGAGTCCTAAGTGACAAAATCATAAAGGTAATCTATACGCAAAGCTGGATTACATATACAAATATACAAAGGTAAAATACAAAGTAAAATTAAAAGTAATAAACATTCAACCCATTTTTTTCACAGCCTACCTTTTCAGATGAGATATGATCGTTAAAGATTCTATGTGAGCATGTTAAGGCTTTCTCGACCCTCACAATCAAGGTATTGTTCCATAAATAAACAAGCTTCAGTTACATGATTTTATTGTATATTGCTAACAGAAGACAACCCACAGTAAATTAACCAATAACTACCCTCAATTAAAGTTTAGTTTGCACAGTTGGACAGAAGTGGGGAGAAGGAGGGAGGAGAATCACCTAGTGATAGGACAATGAGGAATGGCTTTAAGATGAAAGAGGGTACATTTAGATTAGAGATTTGGAAGAAATTCTTCACCATGAGGGTGGTGAGGCACTGGAAAAGGTTGCCCCAAGAAGTTGTGGATGCCTCATCCCTGGAAGTGTTCAAGGTCAGGTTGAGCCTTAAACCTGGTCTTGGGGAAGATGTCTCTGCCTGAGGCAGAGGGATTTGAAGGAAATGATCTTTTAGGTCATTTTGAACCCAAACCATTCTATGATACTATGAACTGTCACACATTAATACATCAGAAACTAATTTCAACCTGTGCCTCCAAGAATTTTGTAAGATACCAAGCACTTCAGTGTTTGCCTGCATAGCAAAATGGTTCAAAGCTGGAGAAGTGCTGAATCTTCTGTTCACAGCCCCAGGTAAGCCACAGAACAGAAGCCTTTATGTTTTGGACTTACGGTTAAGTCCAGAGAGATACACAAATGATATTTCAGCTAGACTCCAAGCATGTGCCTGTTCTAATATGCAATGGAAACCTACAAAACACCATGAAAGAATGAACTGAGGAACTAAACTTCCTAACAAATTTGACAAAAAAAAAAAAAAAAAGAGGGGGGGGGGGCGGCGGGGGGGGCGGGCGGGAGGAAAGGAAAAGTCATCAGCTGAAAGACCACGGCTGGGTGACATATTTATACTCTTCTAGAATCTCATCCCACCTGATTTCTCACTATTTCCAAGGCAAATATTCTCCTTCATGTTCCTCTATCTTCCCCTGCAAAAACCCCCAAAGGCTACAAACCTTTTTTTCCTCTCATTTTGTTAACAACCTGTTTGGCTCCAGACAGGGCAATTACCTTTCCTTTCACAATGCTTAAAAAATTAACATAACCGATTTCTTTTAAGTACATATGGGAAACGAATACCCAAATCCAAGAAGAGCTGTGCTCCCAAAAGCTTGATTTTTTGTTTTTTCTTATTGCAGGTACTGTATCTGTCTGAAGTTCTTCTTCAAAAACATTATGAGACTGGTAGTTCACCAACCTCCCACAATAAAATCATTGACTCTGAGCAAGGCTGTGAATTTATCACCAAGTATGAGTATACATCAGACTTACAAACATATTTGTTTAGCAAAATAGAAATGTTTGAGAAGGCAGCACAAATTAACATTCTCAGATCTTGGAGTGTAAAGATACCAAATTACTACTGTAGTTCAATGGAACTGCTTGTAAGAACCAACATCAGTGCATGCAGGCAGTCTCAGAAAGATCTCATCAACATACCCGTGGGTTGGCTAAGTCAGTCATTCAAGGAAACTACTGAAATCAGTAACATAGAGCAACTATTACCATACTTCAACTAGAACCATCTTCAGAACTATTCTTTACTGTAGTTTTTGTGTGTGTTTTTCTTTTTTGCTTTAATAACTAGCTGGACCCTCAGTGTTTTACTATTAACAGCAATCAGTGATTACAAAGATCTCAAGGAAGTTCTTCTCAGAGCAGAAATGAATGTCATTGGCATAATGTTGACCATTTAACAGTCAACAGAAGCAGACACAAGATTAATAAATGGAGGTGATCTGTTTATTTGCGCTTGCACAACATTATCAACAAATCAGACTTGCCAAATTCTTGGTCGGATAATGATAAAACTGCATAGCAAGCAAGTTATTCACAAGAGACTGATGTTCCTCTAATACAAGGTAATAAAGTAACTGCAAGGCAATCAAGTGTCTCAACTTATCCCAGGGAATTAAAAAAAAAAAAAAAAAAAATGGAAAGAAAAAAGACAGCTTATGAGGGTTTTGGGTTTTTTTTCCCCCAGGTACTCAGTGTCTTGAATACATAGCAAAGGCAGCAAAGTAATGTCTTGACCAGTATGTCAGAAAACTGTGCATGGAAATAGATGAGATCAACCTCATTAGAACAGAACAATTCCTTTAGACCAGTATTGCTGGATACCTGACTGGCCTGCTCCTCTTCCAGGTTGCAACAGTACTAATGCTTTTGCAGGCCAAGGAGAGATAGGAACCCTGTATTTATACATAGAAACCAGATACCTACAGAGTAACAGCTACATCTGATAAACATGAGGAAGCTCACCAGCTTTCTCTCAATTTTCAGGAATTCATATTCTACTTATGTGTCCCTAAAAACACAGTAATTGATATTAATGAATGCTATTACCAGCTTCTTACAACAAAAGATTGAAAATGCTTAAGCCAACTTCTTTCTGTTTATTACACTTCAAGGTAAATCCAATTCATGTGCCTGTTAATAAACCCAAAGCAGTAATTCCAACAAATTATTCCTACAAAATTGGTGCCAAACAGAACTTAGCTGTTCAGCAACCAGTAGGTCACTAGCAACCAAAACTGTCCTCAAGCTTATGAAAAGCAGCACTATACATTTTGTACTGATATCTACAGCCAATATCTACACATGGATAAATTTCTAAATGAGTAACTACCTGTAGGTTGCAAAACTAAACCAACAAAAATATTATGTCAATGAGAGGATAGCGTACAAAGTCCTTTCACTGAGGAATTAGAGAAAAATTGTAATTACGCTATTATTGGGAAAGAACAAAGTGCCTAGAATGTTTTTAATACATTTAACACTGCAAGTTTTCACCTTAGTGCTAAAGTTTCACACTTGTAGGTTTTTTTCTATTTCCTTTTCTGCCTAAGTGCTGTAATGCAAAAATACTTCTCTCATTATATGTGAGAACACCATTAGGAACATAATCAGTGACAGTAAGCTACTATCTAATGCAGATTAAGAAAATTACATTAATTTGAACACATATCTTCAAAGAACATGCTCAGTATTTCTAACTCAGGAAATATCAACAGCTGTAGCATCTACCTTGCCTCATTCATTATACAGTTATTTCTCATTTACACACTCCCAGCCAAGGCATAAGAGTATACCTTTGCTACTCCATACTACTCTGATGGCTAACATTCTTATTACCACTGAAATTAGAAAAAAAGCTGTGAAGTGGAGAAGTAAATATAACCTGAAGAAAATTTCTCATTTCAAAAGTCACTGACAGGCTCACTAAACCAAAAAATACTTGTTTTCTCCCTTGCTTAAATAAGTGAGGAGAGAGGAATGAAAAGAGGGAGCGCATAAAAAAAAGAAACTTACTTAATTTCTTAAGAACATCCTTCTTCTCCTCTATTTTTTCATAGACTGGTTCTTCTGCAACTTTAGTTTCTTGTTTGGGTAGAATATTATTCAGATAGTTCATAGCATTCAGCAGAGCTTGAGAATGCAGTTGAACATCTAGAGATGAAAACTTCACCTAAAAGAACAAATTATATTTATCCAATATGCCTATTTCCCCACAATGAGACATTTATATGTTATGGAAGGAAAAAAAAATAAAAAAAATCATACCTTTATTTTCTGTAGAACATTCTGATAAATAGTTTTCAGTTCTGGTCCATTAATATCAGCCTATTCCACCAAAAGCACATGTAAAACAAACAAATCAGGAGGTTACTAATTTCACAGGATCACAGAACCATTAGGGTTGGAAGGGACCTCTGGAGATCATCTAGTCCAACCCCCCTGTCAAGTCAGGGCCACCTAATGCAGGTTATACAGGAAAGTGTGCAGGTGGGTTTTGAATGTTTCCAGAAAAGGAGACTCCACAACCCCTCTGGCAGCCCATTCCAGTGGTCTGCCAGCCCCAATGTAAAGAAGTTATTGCTCATATTGAGGTGAAACTTCTTATGTTTTAGTTTATGGCCATTGCTCCTCATTCTGTTGCTGAGCACAACTGAAAAGAGTCTGGCACCATCCTCCTAGCATCCACTTTTGAGGTACTTGATTAGAGAGAATTTATTTTAAAAAACACTACAACTTACGATGTACAAGTTAATCTGTTTAGGAAGCTGACACACGTTGCACATGACACTCAGCATATTAAGAAATGAGTAAGTAGGAAAAAACCTTCAACAACTGCTCAGCAAGATTGTACTGTCTGTGATTGGCTTACAGTTGAAAAACTAAGTCTGCTCTTTTCTCACCTTTATGTACTCCAGAGTAAGAAGATCATCATCTACATTATCCAAGGTAGTAACTATGTAAACTGGCTTGTCATTATCATCTTAAAAAAAACCCAGAAGGAAAAAAAAGATTACTTTTCTTAAGGGGAAAAAAAAAAAAAAAAAAAAAAAGAAAAAAAAGACAGTTTTCTACAATTCTTTTAATCATCTATAGACTACAAACTAGACTACTAGCTATCATTACTATTTAATTACAAAACCTCTTTTGTAGAACTAAAATAGTTAGATGTCTACTAAAATCATCAGCACTAAAACACGTTTACCAAAGCCTTACTAAGACAATGAATTCCCTAATTACTTTTGCCTTCCCCATCCACCCCCTCCATTTAATTTACGGAACAAATCTTCCTCAGTTGACAAAAGAAAGCCCCACAGGCTTTTTAAAGACAAATTCACAGTGTTATTTCTGAATTATTTTTTATCAGACTATACATACTTACCCATGTACTCTGGGCACAGCAGAGAAACTTCACGAAGGAAAGCATTTGCCGTCACATCAAATCTTCTTAATTTAAGTTCAGTGCCTAATTTAACAATACAAAGCTCCAGCACAGGTGTCTCAGCATTATCAGTAAGACGGCATAGTTTAATTAAGACCTAAAAAACCCCAAACAGAAAAATTTTAAAAAATAAATAAATTAATTAAAAAAAAAGGTACTGGATTATCCTCTTAGTTTTTATATAGTATTATATATCTATGCATATTTTACTAGTTAACATCTACTGATCATGGGACTTTACAGAGCACATGCCCTGAAAAAAATAAACAGTTCGACAAACTGCTGGAATACTGTTTGCTGCTATTTTAACAAAAACTTCAAATACACATACATGCAATATCAAAGCTCACTTACATGAACTAATTGATTTTTTAAAATCTCTGTAAAGCATTTAGTAACGTTCAACCCAGTCAAAATGGGGTTTTCGGTCAGAATAAAGAATTTACTGCTCTCACTGGAATTTCTTTGAACTCTCCTAGTAAGAATTAGATTCCCAAGCTGAGTATCAGCCCAAAGGATTTCCTGTTTTTTCACCCATGAATGACAAAGATCTTGTTAAATAAATTCCTATCTGAGCTGTTTTTATCAGTCTCTCAAACATAGCAAAACACATACATACGTACTTTTCCACATAATGCTCTCCACAAAGACAGAAAATCAAAACCAAACCCAGTAAGTAATTTTAAATTACAAAGCCAACAGAAAGGTGACTCTTCATAGAGTCTCAATTGATTTTTTTTCTTACATATTTTAAGATCATTTCCATTAGTAAATAATGTAAACCAGAGCATTTATCTTTAGACTAGTAGTTGTTCAAGCCCAGGCTGGACAGGGCCTTGAGCAACCTTGTCCCACACTAGTGGCAGGTGTCCCTGACCGTAGCAGGGGGGTTGCAACTAGATGATCTTAAGGTCCTTTCCAACCCAAACCATTCTATGATTCTTAAACAAGGCTTCATCATCACTCAAAACCCAGAAAATTTCAATTTTATTTATGTATTTTCTATATGGTATAGTATATAGTATGTTACAAGCTAGTTACGATGTGTTGAAGCCATTTTGCAAGCCCTACCCTAGAAGAGAGTTTTTAAAGTTAACTGGATTTTTATGGTTTAATGGTAAAGCTAAAAGGTGAGCAGTAGCACTAACAATGTCACAGATGTGACAGCCTAATGATAAAGGTAATGATAGTGGTAAAAGGCCATCTCTTTTACTAGGCTACCTGATGGAGTTAGGATCTTACATTTGGGTAGAATACCCTCCCTTCACCCTTCCCACAAGTCTGGAACAGCAAGAATAACATATAAACTATTTCATAGTGAACATGATTTAAGTGTGAAGTCAACGAAGTCTGGGAAAAACTGGAGCTGAAAAATACAATGCCTGTTACAAGATGAAACATGCATGAAGTTTTCCTAGTGACCACATTAGTATCCTGAAAAAAATGTCAAAAGCTACATCTTATTCCAAAAACATGTAACATAACTTTTGAGTGATAGTTAGGTAAAGGAAATTTAGCAATAAAATTAGGTGGGACAAATCAAAGGAAATAAACAGAAGTATTTCAGTGGCAAGGATTGAGAAGCAAAACTGACTTGGAAAAAAACCTACAGAGTAGTTTCAACAAGAACTGGGGAATCAATACTTCTATAGACATGGATTCATCACACAAGAAACAGGGAAAAAATACCATTCAGATGTGATTCAGAGAAATTTTAAAATATCACTTTACCTCAGCTACTTCAAACCTCAGCTGGAATTTTGTCATAGCTTTCAAAGATTCCTGTTTACATAGGATTTTTTGCCTTGTACTGCTAGTTTGCTTGAGGGAACCAGACGGAGTTTCAAAAAATGGCATGTCATCCACAGGACTGCTCAGAGCATCATAAAATTCTTCTTCTGATTCTAAGGATTAATTCACAACAACATTACATACAGATTTCAGACAGCCAGTATTCTGCAATACTCTGGCCTAGAATTTTCATGACTACATCTATAAAAACTTAAATGTACAAGTATGGGAAAATTACCTAGCTGACAATTAGCAAACAGTAAAGTCTGCTTCTATCATTATCTCTGCTCCTGGCTCCACAGCTTTTCACCACACCTACACCTCCCTCTAACACATCATCATAAATTAGTTCTTATCAACTAATTCCTTCCAACAGTCTCTCACTATTGTCTATGCAACAGAGTGCACAAACTGTGGCTCATCTTGCCTTCAATTTGTACTAACAGCTTAATAACTCTTATGATGGTCTGACTGCTGCTGACCATGCAGAAGCCTCTGCATCACTATTAGTGGCACTACTTGGGATCTCTCCCTGCTAAGGTTCTCCCATTTCAGGGGAGACTCCTAAGTACTATCAAGGTTTTAATACACCAATTACAGAATTATAACCAAGACAAATAGATGGCACCATCCTATAAGGCTCTTCTCCTTCAACTAAAACCATAAGCAGTTAAATTAAAGGTAACTGTGGAAGAAGTATCCTTCTTCTGACAAAACTGAATAAATGACAGAAGTATTTTCTATGACTTAAAAGCACCTTTCCGTCCGGGGGTGTGAAGACACAGAAATAACATGACTCACTTAAAATTACTGCACAGTTGTATGCATAGTAGAAATTTAAAACGAGACTTGATTCAATCTAAACCTAGTTATTACTTTCTCAAATCAGTTTTAGCCACTGTTGCCATCATCTCACCCCAGTATTTAAGAATTGAAAGACACTTTCTCTCTTCCTTTGGACACTTAAAGGAATATGAACATAGATATTTCTGTCAATACTGTACACACACACTTAATTTAAAGTGAAGTAGATGTAAAAGTTAACTTTGCTAGTGTTTGCAAACCACATATATTATTAACATGAGAGGAGAAGCAGTATCATTCTCTATTTCTCCAGCTGACTATTTTGGCCTGAAAAAAGGTGACTGACACTGAAATAACACTCACATATGAAAAATACACAAATATACAATTACTAGATGAAATGTTACAATCTAAACTGTTTGAATAGCAAGGCATTCTTAAACATGACCAATTTCTCCATGGCCAATCTTCTGTTTGATCCTGTAGAGGTTGAAATGATGGGTTTTTATAGTAACACAGTAATTTCCAACTGTCATCATTTCAGTATTTTGTAACTTAAATAAATCCAGCTAAGTCAGAGAGAAATCCTTCACCAGAAGAAAATCACTTAAACCACTGTCAGATGACTAAGCACATAGTGAAGCAAAAAGTGGCATACATACAGATGTTCTGAATAGAGATTTGTAGGAACATACGCAAAGACAGAAATAAACAAACCTATCCTACCAAACAATTTACTGCTTTGCCTTCAGAAAGGGAACAAGAAAAACAAACATACAGAATTTTACTGCTATAAGAAAATACACAAGTATTTTGTATAGAGAAAATTATAATAAGCTGCAGCAACAGCAACACTACTAAACCTCCAGAACTTAAAACAAAGCCACAAACAGTCAGTTACTCCAAGAGAAACAAATTAATTCAATGAACTCAAAAACTTGACCTGTTTATTATATCAGACTTCAAAATAGATAGTATTACCTGACTCAGTAAAAGAATGAAGATCCAAACCAGGAAACACACTTTGCGATAAATGTGTTGCTGAAAGCACAGGCGATACCATAGACTGAAACAGAAGATACCATTATTTTTATTTTTTGCTTAAATATGTGCTATTGCATATACATACGCTGCATAGAAGACTTACAACGTTAGGAAATTGGACTTATTTTAAGCACAAATCACTATTGTTAAACAATTACGTTACTAGAATTAAAAACACAGGGAGAAATGAGCCCTAAATCAGATACTGCATATTCATCTCACTACAGAGAGAATACACCATGGAACATTGCGAACAGGTTCAAACATCGAACATCACAGACAGAAAGATGGACAGAAACAGCACATCATATGAAAACTCTGGAAAGACAAAACCTAGTCCCTCATGGGACTACAGCATGGCCACAGCAGAGAACATAGTAAAAGAAAAGATCGAGTGTTCTTTATAAAAACCACATGACACTGGTGACAGGTGGGGAAAAAAAAAAAGAAAAAATAGAGCTAGAGATAACATTAGAGCAAACAGATGTATCTGTATTTCACAGAATCATTGAACCACTTAGGTTGAAAAGACCTTGAAGACCATCGAGTCCAACCATTAACCTAACACTGACAAGTCCACCACTAAATCATGTCTCTAAGCACCATATCTACACATTTTGCAAGTACCTCCAGAAATGGGGACTCAACTACTTTCCTGGGCAGCCCATTCCAATAATTGACAACCCTTTTGGTGCAGTAATTTTCCCTAATAGAATCATAAAATGACTTAGGTTGGAAAGGATCTTAAAATGATCTAGTTCCAACCCCCCTGCCATGGGCAGGGACACCTTGCACTAGACCATGTCGCCCAAGGCTCTGTCAAACTTGGCTTTGAACACTGCCAGGGATGGAGCATTCACAACTTCCTTGAGCAGCTTGTTCCAGTACCTCGCCGTGAAGAACTTCTTCCTTATACCTCACCTGAATTTCCCCTGTTTAAGTTTAAACCCATTACCCCTTGTCCTATCACTACAGTCCTTGATGAAGAGTCCCTCCCCAGCATCCTTGTAGGCCCCCTTCAGACACTGGAAAGCTGCTATGAGGTCTCCACGCAGTCTTCTCTTCTCCAGGCGGAACAGCCCCAACTTTCTCAGCCTGTCTTCGCAGGAGATGTGTTCCAGCCCCCTTATCATGCTTGTGGACTTCCTCTGGACTTGTTCCAACAATTCCACGTCCTTATGTTAGAAGGACATGGAATGCACACAGTACTCCAAGTGGAGCCTCACAAGAGCGGAGCAGAGGGGCAGAATCACCTCTTTGACCTGCTGCTCACGTTTCTTTTGATGCAGCCCAGGATACGGTTGGTTTTCTGGGCCGCAAGTGCACACTGCCGGCTCACGATCAGTTTCTAATTAACCAACACCCCAAAGTCCTTCATCTCAGGGCTGCTCTGAATCACTTTACTCAACCTGTAGCTGTGCCTGGGATTGCCCCGACCCACTAGTAGGACCTTGCACTTCGCATTGTTGAACTTCATGAGATTGGCACTGGCCTACCTCTCATGCATCAAGCGTGGCAAGGTCCTTCTGGATGGCAACCCTTCCCTTCAGCATGTCAACCACACCACACAGCTTGGCAACATCAGCATTTGATCCCACTGTCCATATCACCAACAGACATGTTGAACAGAATCAGTCCAATCTAAATCTCCACTACCACAACTTGAGGCTACTTCGTCATTTGTTATTTGGGAAACGAGACTGACCCCCACCTCACTACAACCTCCTTTCAGGTAATTGTACAGAGTGGTAAGGTCTCCTCTGAGCCTCCTTTTCCCTGGACGAAACAACCCCGGTTCCCTCAGCTGTTCCTCATAAGACTTGTGCTCTAGACCCTTCACCAGCCCTTCTTCGGACATGCTCCAGCACCTCAGCGTCTTTCTTGTAGTGAGGGGCCAAAAACTGAACACAGTATTTGAGATGCAGCTTCACCAGTGCTGAGCACAGGGGGACAATCAATTTCCTAGTACTGTTGGCCACACTATTTCTGATACAAGCCAGGATGCTGCTGGCCTTCTTGGGCACAAGCTGACTCATGTTCAGCTGGCTGTCAACCAACAGCCCCAGGTCCTTTTCCACTGAGAATCTTTCCAGCCCTTCTTCCCCAAGTCTGTAGCATTGCAAGGGGTTGTTGTGGCCCAAGTGCAGGACCTGGCACTGACCCTTGTTGAATCTCATTTCTTCACGTATCTGGAAAAACAGATGCTAGTGGAGTCTTTAACTGTGATATGCAGTTATGCATAACACAGAGAAGTAACTGGAATGTATGAAATGTCACTGTTTTGCCACTGGAGTGGAGAAAAGGACAAGAATCCTCACTCCACATGATGGCATATATAACATAATTAAACTGTCTTAGTGAAGGTAACCAAAGCCAGATTTCTCATCAAGCCTCAAAAAGTAGTCTTGGTGGTTTGATTTTGTAAACAATTCTCACCTGTGTTCTCACATGCATATAGAATGTGTGTGCCTTGCACAGAGTTCTAAAGCAAGGAGAGACATGTACATTGTCTGTGTGCCCCTGTTCTTCTCAAGCGGCTTTGGCTTTGGACTGCCCAAACAACAGTGGTTCTTTCCCCTCCAGCCAACCCCTTAATGCTACTTTCAAAGCCCAGTTGGAGACAATTATTCAGTAATTCATAGTATCTTACAGAAACCTAAGTATTATGGCAACAAAAAAACATTCATATTTGTACATTATTCCCAATGATCCACTTTCATCTCAGTCATCACATTTCAGCACTCTCCCTTCTCAGTCTCCAGCCTACATAATTTGACCTTACCGAATATATCTGTGTCTATGAGTAATAGTTACGCCAAATCTCTAAGAGTCTTGTAACTGTGAAAGAGTCTCATCTGTAACACTTTCCCATTCTAAGAAGGCAAGGAGAAGAAACTGTGAGACTTGATTTTACAGTATTAAATCATGAGAAATAAAGCCTTCCACACTGAAGAACCTTCTCGTACTAAAGTATAAGAAACTGCAGAGTGCAAAAAACTAGAGGTTATCTGTTCTGAAGGGTCTTCTGTTTTCACAGCCCAAGAAGAATTCCTCCACTAACTCAAAATGTAAAGCATAAAGTTCACATGCAGAGCTCTGAAAAAGGATTTCACATCCGTTTTGGTTCAGAAGTGATGTGACGGCAGCAAAGCTCAAAAGAATTTCAGCTACAAGGATGAAAGCATGGGAGTGCATCTGCAACCACCAAAGCAGCAAATCCTCTCAAGTTAATTGAAGTTAACACCAGCAATTGGTGTCTGTAAAGCTCTGCAGTAGACAGAAGCTTGAGCAGACAGGGTTAACCACAGGTTTTAATATGGATGCTGCATGTCATTCAAATACATTCACATTGGCTCAACAGTCTTTCCTCACCTCATCTTGTACATCCCAAGCAATGTACAGGTAATATTAAGCACAAAGTCAAATTATTTTAACTGTACTAGCTGAATACTATAATTAAATTTGAGTATAGGTAATGTTATAAAGTACAGGATAATTATCTTACATATGCACATTTTATTTATGTAAAACTAAAATCCCACCACTTATTCTCGAGGAAAGCTTGCCTATAGTTATTTGTCAAAACAATAAAGACTAGGGAAGCTTTTGGCTAGGGATACTATTATTAGTACACAATGAGCGAAAGAGCAGATCATAACATGATCACTAAAGAGATGGCAGGAACTACATATTGAAGTGGAACAATCTTCAGTCTATATATACTTTGAATAAGTATGCATGTCTAGTCATGTGCGTTTACAGTTATCAAGTATTATGCTAACATAACCCACAGAAAACACCACCAAAACTGCAGCAACAGTCATCAGGGACACAACAGAATAATTAGTATAAAGATGGAAAGATAATAATTACATAATCTTTAAAAATAAATTAAAAAGAAAGATGACCATTGTTGCTTTAGAATAAAGTATACAAAAGATTAAGCAGCAGATAAATAGAAGCATTTACAAATGAACGAAAAATGGATAGCAAATTTTATCTTTGACCTTGAGATTTCACGTATGTTCAAATAAGAAGACTGCTTTAAAGCTATATAAAACATAACCAGATCACACAGACTAGAGCAATGTTAAAAATTAGCAACTCTGAGTTAATTTCTTGGTTTTGTTAAAAACAGCTCATATCACAAGGTAAAACACACTTTTCAGGAATAGAAACAAGAAAGTGCCAATCCTCTATTCCAAAAAAAGCATAGAACAGTGATTCAAACCATTTTTACTAAGGAAAGGGGATGGGGAAGTAGGGAGAGAACACACTCCATGCTCTTAAGCCTTAAAAATGCAAGGCAGAAGAACTGCTGCCCACTCAGGTATGTTGTTATCACCGAATAAGGAAAAGCTGGAAAGAGCAGTGAAATCAGCTGAAATGAAGCTGCCATTTCTGCCAGCCAGGCACTGTTTAGCGAACAATAATCACAGACTGGGGATATTTTGTAGGGTTGGTTTTTTTTTTGTAGTTAGGTTGTCTGGTTTCTTAAACTCCAGGGTGACTATGATCCATGTACTACTTCAACTTTCAAAATTACAAGGTTTCAAACTTTTCTTTGCTAAACAAAATAGCTGAATGCAAGCTCTGCAGCACCCTGACATGTGTCTAAAAAAAGTGAGTATGTTTGTTAATCAAGAACAATATGAGCTACAAAGTAATACTGAGAGTAAAAGAAATTTGGAGATAACTAACAAGCAAAATCTCTAAGCTTTGAAGAATTACCTAAGTTTTTTCAAAAAGTACTAAGGAAATGCTTGTTCGCAAATTTCTGGTGCTCCTTTCAAAACTGCAACAGCAGCTAATAGCAAGAAGGTATCTTCCTGATAATTATTATTAAAGTATTTTTAAAAAATCTTACCTCAGTTATTTTTGGAAGCATACTGGTAGCAGGAGCACTTTCTGGCTTAGGAATACTATCAATTAGCTCCAAGATGCGTGTCAGGTTCTGGTCTGATATTTGGATAGAGAGTAAAGGCAGCTGTCCAGACAATTTGAACCTGTTTTGTAAACAATCAAAGTTATCTTAAAACTATTTCATTCAAACTTCACATCAATTTTCTTACTGGTCAGAAAATCATTCATCTAACCATTTTGTGTTTTTTAATATATTATAGATGTATAATATAAGCATATATGTAATATATATACACACACACATATATATGTAAATTCTATTGCACACAGAGGAGACACCAACAGTAGAGACACCTTCCACTAGACCAGGTAGCTTTTGATACAATGCCTTGCAGATAACGACTGCAAATAATACTAATAACCACTTCGGATTTGGCTACATAAAGCATTTTCCTCACAATCAGAAATCGTTCACTCTTGTTTGTATATTTAATTACTTGTAATAAATCACACAGGTGACCCTTTACACAGTATTTTACAGAAGAAAAGGTGTGGGCTTTCTTTGCATAAGAATGTTTACAACCCAAAACTTCAATGAAGTATAGAAAATGTTTCCTAGTTATGTATATAGTTATGTATATTTAAGCTTAGAAGTAGTCAAGATATTTATCAAAAGAATAAATGTCATAAGAATAAAGGACCTAAAAAAATAAAATAACAGTCTTTAAAACTGAGAGCAGTAAGACATATTTTAGGCTTGTCTGAACAGGCTTTGGAAAAAAGAAATGAAATCACTTCAAACCTAGATGCTGAATTTTGAAGACCTAAAACCCATCCCAGTCCCATTTTCTCATAGAATTGAGCAGAACAGAAGTAAGCAGAAAACTGTCACCAAGAACACAATTATGCTTTTATTACAACATCTAGATGGAACAGATTAAAGGGGTCTATTCAACAAGCCAACTGTCTCCAACAGCAGGCAGCAGCAGATGCTTAACATGGAAGGTGTAAGGAACAGGACCTACTATTCCCTCCCAATTTTGCTATGCTTGACTCACAGCTCAATATTTTGAAGAACATAAAATATATGGAGAAGATATAAGGACAAAACCTCCAAAATTTTCAATCACCCTCAACTAACTTTGAGAATACAAGGATAACTGGAAAAACAGCTCCTTACACCCGAGCAAGCCAAGCACAAAGTTGTACCTGTTAAACAGTAAATACCTTGTTTTCTACAGCTAATTCCTTCACGTCCTTAAATTCTAAAGTAATCAATTCTCAACTAGGTTTGACTTTTACTCTTACTTCCAGTTCTGTAAGAGAGAAATTTAGTCCTTTCATTTTTGTTTGTTCTTTTATTTTGACAGAGGGGCAGGGTAGATGTGCAGCTGCTGGGTCAGAAAGGACCTGTCCATGTACTGCTTGAGTGCTCCAGTAATGTAGGACACTTAGAAATCCTCGCTTCAATTAATATGGTGGTCTTCAAAAAATGAAAATTACATGAATTAGTATTCTCTTCAAGGCAGCAACACAGAAATGTGCCTTCCTAAACAAAGCCAGTACAAAGTCCTGGTAAGTTCATTATTATTTTTTAAGAATGAAATCACAAAGAATTCAACTGGATTCAATGGTCATACAAGGAAGTACAAATATTAAAGAATCAAAAAAATACAGACACCCAATTATCTGCTTTTTATATGACTGCAAGTAAAATAGATGCCCTCCAAACTAAGGGACTCATTAATTAAAATATACGACATTGTTTTAAACAAAGAAGTTTTGGTACTAGTTTTTGTTGTAGAATAAGCATCTTTCCACTCACCTTCCTCCACAGAACTATTCTGTTCTACGGCACAGTTCCAACCATTAATGAAAAAAACTCAGGAAAAATATAATGCTGACTTTATATATATGTGTATTTGTAAAAATCGAAATGTTAAGGAATAGCTACATGTAAACTACAAATACATTCAGAGATGTGTAACTGATACATAATGCCCTATCCAACTATATCCACTAAAATTTACAGTTTAACAGATTTTTACCGACACAAAAGCTATCCGGTAATTTTTAACATTTGTATAAAATGTCATCTAGAGATCATAAGAGCCAAATTATTTGTATTTAAGTATCTGTATATAAACACATTAACTGACCATTAAAAACAAGAAAAGATTATGCAGAAAAGGTCAAATCTCCACCATTAGGTAAAAAGCTCCTGTATGTATCATTTCAAGACTGGTATGCAACTGTAGAGTACTATAATACCATCTGAACAATACATCCTGGAAGCATTTGGAGACTGAACAAGGTACGAAATGAACAAGTTCAGCTGTTGTTCAGTCATGGTAGCAACATGTTAGATTTGAAATGCTTACTTGCTCTTGGTGCAGGTTAAAGTATTAGTTATGACTAGTAACTTACTGTGGTATATGATTACCTAGTACCAAACTGCTGTCTGTGGCATTCCTAATGGTTTTAGACAGTACAGGCACTCAGAAAGAAGTAGCAGCTGATCCCCAAGAAATATTACTATCTCAGTGGAAGAAAAAATTGCCTATTTCTAGACACAGGCAGAAACTATTCATTGTCAAGTAAGTATGAGAATTCACAATACAGAAATAATATCCATCAGGGAAAAATTTTCCAGCATCAGTCTAGACACAAACTGCCAAAAGGAGAAACACACCTGGTAGCAAGATAGTTAGACAGGTAGTACTACAATACTGCAACAGGTGTTCTCATTAAGAGCAGACACTCCTTAATCCAGGTCTGTCATGGTTTAAGCCCAGCCGGCAACTTGGAACCACGCAGCCGCTTGCTCACTCCCCCCCCTTTTCCTTCCTCCCCCCGCTCCCGGAGGGATGGGGAGGAGAATCGGAGGAATGTAACTCCCACGAGTTGAGATAACAGCTCTCCAGTAACTAAGGTATAATACAAACCACTACTGCTACCAATAATAATAATGATGATAAGAAGAATAACAAGGGGAGAGGACACAACCGCTCACCACCCGCTGACTGATACCCAGCCCGACCCGAGCAGCGATCTGGGCCTTCCGGGTAACTCCCCCCAGTTTCTATACTGGGCATGACATGCTGTGGTATGGAATACCCCTTTGGCCAGTTTGGGTCAGGTGTCCTGCCTCTGCTTCCTCCTGGCTTCCCCTCCTCTCTGGCAAAGCATGAGACTGAGAAAGTCCTTGGTCAGAGTAAACATTACTTAGCAACAACTAAAAACATCGGTGTTATCAGCATTGTTCCCAGACTGAAAGTCAAAAACACAGCACTGCACCAGCTACTAAGAAGGAGAAAAAATGACTGCTGTAGCTGAACCCAGGACAAGGTCATACTAGCATAACTTGGAGATATATCAATTACAAACTTACATTAAAATGACATTGTTATACAACCATAGAAGAGAAATCTCATTTTCCCTAACTGCACTTTCTAACATAAAAAGACTGATTCCCACAAGTTGTATTTCCTTTATTTTCTCACTTTCACCACCAAACAGAGAAAAAGTAAGGAGGTAGAGAGTAAGATATTTTGTAAAGTCAAGCATCAAAATTCAGAATCTGGCCTCCCGGCTTTCCAGAAGATGGCACCATTACACCACGCAATCATTGATCTCTGTTCACAATACACAGCACTAGCGAGGTACATTGTTTTTAGGGCTTTTTTTCCCTCTGACTAAGCAAATCCTTTTATAATAAATTGTCGTGGTTCAAACCCAGCCGGCAGCTTGG